CACGCCTTATAAAACGTAGTGTTTGGAGTGAACAGAATGTGAATGTTTTAACCGCATAGCGACATGTATATCATACGCCATCTCGTGGAACGTGCTTATATATATACATATTGGGACAAACGCGTGAGCAGTGCTGTAGAGTCGGGGAAAAATTACATTCTGGCCGGACTGAAAAAATTTAAAATCCTCCTACAACTCTAAACTCCGATAGTAGCAAATTTCGATAAAGAAAATTGTTGGCGCGTTTAGCATCATAAAAACCAGGGGTGTGCAACCTGCGGCCCGCGGGCCAAATGAGGACCCTAAGGATAAATTGTGCGGCCCGCGGAAAAGGACCAAATATGAATAATGTAAGGCCAACAAAACGAGTATTTAGTTTATTCTGGTACTTGCGAGTAATACCAATCCCTTTGCGTTGCAAATCCTTTGCCTGATACCAATTTATTATCTATGCCTATGACGTTACAATGCCATAATAGCTAGCTCGTGCGAAGCGATCAACGCATGTCATAGGATCAATAACCAAAATTTTTGTGCCTGCAACTACTAGAAAGCCTATTTTAAATAATGGTGCGGCCCGTGGTTTCACCCAGTTATTTGTATCTGGCTCTCCTGTATTGAAGGTAGTACACCGCTGATATAAACTGCTGCTATTCAGCGTATAAGCGTGAATATACGGAAATGAATTATATAGTACCTATTTTCGTATTTCTTTTTACAGATTTAATTAGTAGATTTATTTAAAGTTACTAAGTTTTGTACTCCAAAAGACTTCCGCTATTTCTCGACTTCCGAATCGCACAAGACAAAGAGTCAAAGGTCAACTAAACTCGAACAAAATAGAAGGTGAGTTAAGTTTTTTTGCTCTTTGCAGTTTTCAGACTAAAAGTGTTTTGTCAATTTGGAAAGTGCAAAATACTGCAAACGGCTCTGCGAAGACTAGAAATTATGGCTCAACACTGTACAAACTCATTAGGATAAGATAGAATGAGTTTATTTCGACTACATAATCAGCATCAAATGCGATTAAATGATTGATAAAACAAATAAATAAAAAATGATTATGAAATCACACATATAATAGTCGATATTGTACTTAGAATCCAATGCAAATTATGAGATACCTGAAAATGTGATTTCCGGAGCTATCATTTTTAGGTATCCCTGTCTCAGAAGAAATAATTTTGTTTGCACAATATCGTATGCTTAATTTTTTTTTTGTGGGAATGATTCTTTCAAGTACGGAGTTTCCCGAAAATGTAGACTTTCTTTTCTAGCTTTTTGCGAGAAGGAGAAGATCGTTTGCGAGATTTTTAATTTTTTTCGGAATGGAGAATGTAGTATTATGGGTATGAACTTTCGCGGACTCGGATCTTTGCATACTTTCGTGCAGATTTTTCGTGCCGTATTTTTGCTTGTATTTTTCAAAGTTCATGAGCAAATTCTACAAGATACTTTAATCTAATATTGTCTGGGGTAGAGAAAAATTTCCCCTTCAAATCTAATCACAATCTAATAATATATGTCCACGAATTCTTGAAATTTTTTAAAATAGCAAAAGGAATTTAACGACACCATATATTGTTTTGGTTCTCACAGATGTATTAAATGGAGTAAAAATTCTTAAACAATTACTGATCAAAAAACAGCAAACCTGGTTAAGATATTTTGAGAACTGATTTCATAAAAAAATTGAAATTGTGAATGGACTTTTTCGTTTCAACATCTTTCAGCCAAAATACAAGGTAGATAGAGCTTTTCGTGAAAAATCTGAATGAGTTCCGTTATAAAAATATTCATCACGCCAAAGTCAGTTGTCGTTTTTCAAATCAATAATTACCCGTTTCCCTAAATGTTTATTGCATAAACAGACTACGTTTTTTTCAATTCCTTTGATCTCAATACGGCACTAGATAAGTGTCAAATCTTCGGCCGTTGGGCTGGAGGCTGGTTGCTTTTTGAGTTGTGTTTGCTGTGATTCTTGCTTTTATAAGCGTAGAGTTGTCGTATCAATAAATAACCAATCCGGAATCTTAGGTCTTCTAATCTAACAATCACAGTAACAAAAACCTTATCTGTGACAATGGATTCGCTCATAATATCGATCTGTACAAGCGTCCGAATCAAGACTGTGTTTCGTAAAGTGAAGCTTGATCGATGGATTGAATCTGGGTAAAATCGGGGATAAGAGAATAAAACAAGTTACATCTACAAATATTGCAAATAGTGAATGTCCCGACTTACAAGTTTTACATTTATGTGTTTTTTTGCCGGGGAATTTTGAGAATACCTGTTCTCAGAAACATCCACCATTCTCAACCATCACTGACTCCAACTATAAAAGGACTGCTACCTGATTGCCTCGAGTAATAAGTTTCGCATTTCCATTAGGTGTTACATTTTTGTTGAATAAATAAATGCACCGGAAACGAATCACTAAAATCAGAGTACCAACAACCAACGCACAAACCCGTTGTTGTAAAGAATATTTGCTCATTGCAAAGTAAGACTTACTTAAACTGGAAGTTTCTCATTTTGAGCGTTGGTGGGGTGATTTTATCTCGGAGCTTTGTGCAAGATCTTGTTAAATCACAGACTCCAACTCTGAAATGGGCAAACTAAAACCCGTGGGCCAAATCCGGGGTGCCTGATGCTGCCACAACCAAACTAAAACTAAATTTTGATGTTTAAGTTAAAAATAACTCGATGGATTTTTAGAAATTGCGATTTGATTGAATTTCGAAACGAGGCTCATTGTTTTCCACATTTGCTTTTGTAAAACTGTAAATATTGTTTATGAAATGTAACTTTTACATCACATACATGGGCACCAGTCCAGATGAGCGAATTTTATGGCCCCGAGTTCAAAAACCTTGCCAACCCCTGCTCTAACAACAAAAAGACTGCTACGTAATTGCCTCGAATAATAAGTTTCGCATTTCCAGTAAGTTATACGTTTTCGTTGAATGAATAAATACACCGGAAACGACTGATGCATCCCACAACGCTTTTGTGGAAGTGAAACAACGCAAAGTTAAATTTTGCATTGCCCTTACATAACAAAACAACAATTATGCTCGTACCACGCTTGGCCGAACGATTTCGTAATCCTGGTTGTCCATACTCTGTTGACGGAGCATGAATAAAATGTTTCGTTTTTACATGGAAGAGCTCCCATTAACGCAAGTTTTTTAGAGTTGATGATAGTTATGAGCTAGCTAACATGGGCTCTTTAGTAGTTGGAGGCACAAACAGCATTGTAACATAATTGACGTTGAAAATAAATTGGACTCAGATATAGGGTTTGTAACGCAAAAGGATTGGAATCAGAATTACTTGCGTAACCCCTGGACTGTACTGGCGGAACCTATAGGTTGACGCGAAACTACTGGTGTATAGCTTCATCTCTCAAATATAGCTCTATGTTATGGGTTAAACGCATATACAGATTGCAGACAAGTTTGAACAGAATAGTCCAAAGTAAACCCACTGAGCACTAGGTAGAAAAGCTAGCGAAATGTAGCAGCGTTGAATACATAGCAGGCTTGATCTGGTCCGTTATCAAATGCCGCCGTATCCTTACAGCTAGCTTACATGGAGGCTTGTTTTGAGCGACTGTGTGAAGCCAGTAAACAACGACGTTTATGGAAAGTCTCTTCCTACCTCGCGTTTGTGACATTTTTTACTTTATCAATATTGAAGCTTTCTCATTTAGGGGTACGCGATTGTAAGATTCTTAGTTTGCAGTTACTTACATTATGATTGGTTGAGTAAAACAAAGCCACGCCTCTCATGGTGCAAATCTTATAAATCATTGCTGACTCACTCTGACCTTGTAAAAGTTAAATATTGTTAATGTTTTTGAGTTTCGTTTGTATTGAAAATGGGGCTTCCAAATGTTCAAGTTATTAAATCGATTTTTAAAGTTTAGTCAGACTAAGGCTGTTTCGCAAGAGAAATGGCAGCAAGGCTGTTTTCACGCAGAAGATCGAAATAAAAAATCGAAATAAAATTATAATAAATTTTAATTGCATGAGTTTTACGCTTTGTGAAATTCATTCAGAATCGTTAGTTTTTCTGGTGGTATTGAGATAAACTTCTTTAGGTCTCGAGTTAAGCTGACAAATACTGACAAATAATGAATACTAGACCAGCGGTTCCTAACCGCGAGCCCGTTCCCACCTAGAGGGCCACAAAGCAGTTGGGAGGGGAGGGGGCACAATGCTAGGCGCAAAACTGATTTTACTTTTTTTTTCTTCACAAGAAAACTCCCCGTTCTTCCTATAGTTTCATTGCTAGATGTGAACATGATTTTATCTTTCCCTTTACAAGGCTCTACAACTTCTCATTCATCCTAGTTTCATTACTTGATAAGGTTATTTCACAGGGTGTTTCCACCTTGTTAATCATGGATTGTTTGAATATAATGAGGTTTAGAATCAGACAATCATACGGGTCAGTGGGTTTCTTTTTACGTCAGGGCAGTTTGTCTTATTTGTGACGCCCCGGCTGGAAGACCTACAATGTGTACCCAATACCACCACAGGCGCTAGGCCTTAACGCAAAATAAATCCAAAACGCTTGTAATGTACTATATTATTAGATCCAGCATTTGCTGGAAATTGATGCGACATCCTGCCATCGTTCAATTGGCGGAAACATTATGGAATCAGCATCGCGTATCGTTGTGAATAATATGTAATGATATAATACAGTATATCCGGACGTATTGTGAGGCTTGTGCATCGCTCATGATATAATAGTAAAGTTGGTTTAATATCAGAAGTATTTTTTAGCTATATGGTGATTTATTAACATTTTTTGAGCAGTATAGAGTTCACATATAAGAAAATATTGAAGAGGTTTTTAATATATATGCTAAACCCTTTTTTGTCAGTGCCTTTCGTTTTTCTAAATCTATAAAGACGGTCAAAAATAGGATGTTGAATGATAGGGAAAAATAAGTTAAATACGGTTAGTTTTTTTTTAAATGATATCGAATTAATTGTCGATGGTTCAAAAATGAAATAACATTTTAATTATAACTGTTGCAATGCGATGGTCAAAAAATCGAAGCAAAAAATTGGAAGTTTTTGAACATTGGGAGGCGGTAGCATTTATTGTCAACGACGAAGCGAATGAGGGGTAATATACTGTACCTGTTTGTATTTGTGTATGTTGATATTCGATTTTCAGACAGACTTATCGATGTCGCCTTGATTGTGTTATGTTACAAATTAGCAGCAAAATTAAGGTACGAGAAATATACAAGGGTCCTCAACCAATATTCTCTCGTTTATCCCTTTAGGAAATTTGAAAAATAAAATTTAGTCCTAAATTAATATAACATGTTATGGTGGTATAACGTTCGGAGTTGCCCTTTAAAGTTTTTCATTTGAATGTTTATTTTACAATTCAATGGAATCAATGGACGTAAAATGGAATGAAACATATGGGCAGGGGGTATATTCATTTTGTCTTACACAGACAGTCCACGAACTCGTAGTAGAACTAAAATAAGGAAAATCGGATTAAAATTATGGCCTAACCCTAACATGGTACACATACTACAGGAGTATCATAGTTTGTTAATGCGCTTGTCCAGACATTTCATAGGAAAAACGTCGTATACCACATGTGGCATAATTTTATGAATGCATGTTCAAAGCAAGGCCAGTAAGATTGTTATAAAGTGAACGAATTTTGAATAAATTCACAAGTACTCACTGATAATCTTTAAAAAGGTGCATTATCGTCCTTAACAAATATTTAACCGGATGTATATAAATATTTGATCGGATATTACGGGCAAAAGAACTTAGGAAGTTCAAGTCAACTCGGTTAGGAAAACAGCGTAGAGCACTGGTTCTCAACCAGTGGGTGGGCTTCAGGTGGGCTACTATAACTTATTCAAAATTGCTAGAGTTGTTGATAAATTCAGTTAAATTTGATTGTAGTAGCGATGAATGATGATGCTGTTCTTTGCTATAGAGCGGCAATCTTCAGTGTACGGTACGCCGATTGAGATTACAGTGTTTGAAGTGGTTCCATTACATTTGAACCCACGTACATTTGAACCCGTAATTTGAACCCACGACAATTACACCTGCATACTACTGCACCTATGGAAATTTATTTTTTACGGATATTCGAACCCATACTAACCCTAACCCATGGATGCTAGCACCCTTATATAGATTGACCCGCGGATATAACCCGCGGTTATACGGGTGCAAATGTATGGGTTCAAATGTACATGGGTTCAAATGTACGATCACCGTTCGAAGTTTACCGATTTTACGCGTTCTTTCCGAGCAGACGCAAGTCTATTTAAACGAGAGAGATTTCCACGCGAGAAAAACGCTCGTCTTTAATTGATATTTAGAAACCCGAAATGCAAAAATTGACGCATGGCGCCGGAGAGGCGGAAACCGAATCCTGTTATCGGATCCTGTTGGATTCGAATACTTTGGGATTCGAATCCTCTGGATTCGGTATTCTATATTGCCCATCCCTGAGTGTACCGCTGTAATTATCAAAGTGGAAGTGTCTATTTTAGCGAAAATTGCTGGCATAGAAATGCTTCTGCTATCGTAAACATACGTAGAATTGCAAACAATCATAATGTGCATGATTTTTCATAATATTTGTCCCAATCACATGTCTGTCAATATTTGAACATTTCTTTTACATTCAGTATAGCAATAATCCATATGAAAAATATGCAGTATTTGTTAACAATGACTAGCATTTCGCCATAATCCTATTCCATACAGTTGGTACAGTGGTTTTCAACCCTTTTCGTTAAGTACTCACTTCGCTTATTTCGGAACTCTTTTTTACCCCCTAATTTGGTACTACCGTAGTATGTGTACCAGGTTGAGGTTAGGGTTAGGCCATAATTTCATTTCGATATTCCTTCTTTTAGTTCTATTACGAGTTCGGAGACTATCTGTGTTGGCCAAGTGAACCCCTTGCCCATAGGGTTCCGTCCCTTTACACAACTTGATGTAACTGGGCCAACAAAATTAGTTACCTTCATATTGGTACACATACGTACGAAGTACTTCATCAATTAATCTTTAATGTGTCCTAATGCGGCCTGATACCCAAAATATAGTAAATCACGAGATATAAATGCACACGATCATCGGCAAACAATAGTTTTGCATTGTCACGATATGGTCGAGTTGGAAAAAAAATAATAGTGGTCATTCCTGGGTCTTTTATCAGCATTAAAAGCACGTTTAGTGGAGGATGAGCGACATGCTTCGAACGGATTTGTATATTGCACAGACGGGAATGAGGAGTAAATGTAAAAGCTTTTAATCATCGATTCCAATCATCGGCAAACAATATTTCTGTATTGTCTCGATATGGTCAAGTTGGAATAAAAATAATAGTTGTTTTTTCTCAGTAATAAAAGTACTTTCAGTCAAAGCTTGAGGGCATGATTTGAGCAGAATTGTATAAACAGATATGGATGTCGTAGCAGAACAGTATTTGTGACGGCAAAGCAGTTTGAAAATTAAACATTGCAATAAGCACTGTGAAAAATATACAGCACATGTTAATAACGACTAGCATTTTATTATGATACTATTTTATTCGGTCTATACCAATACATAGCACTGGAAAAAGTTGTCAATTGTTTCTTATTTTTACTGAAATTTAAAATTGTTAGCAACCATTCCCATTTTTAATTACATTTTCTTGAACATTGTGTTTTATTTAAGTTATATATTATATTTATTGTTATTATCAAATCACAATGGCAACAAAATCTTCAGATAAAGAACCTTTGACTAAAGGACGGTAGGTGCTAAATGACACGTGACTGGTCACGTGGTTCAGGTCTATTCTGACCACATAATCTAACAGAGACTTATTGAAATTCTAATTCTAAACCCAATTTTGTTACTTTACGTTGTAAGCGTAGCGAATAGTGTTGCAACATAAAACAAAGCCAATCTTGTGATTGTAAAGGATGTTTTCTCAGAAAACAATTTGGAAATTTATTTCGAAAGCTATTTTTTTTGGTGGGAATTTGAAATCATAGTTGCTTATAAAAAGTTTTTTATTGTTCTTTCGATTCAGAAAACCTTATTTTGGATTTTTACATTTCTTCATTATAGATATTTACATTCCATCCACATATTTTCGACGTATTTTTTGGAAAAAAAAAACTTTCGCCTTACTATCTGTTATTTGTAGCATATTGTTAGCTAGTTATTTTTGAGTTGAGGCGCGAGACTTGACTCATTTTAAAAATGGGCGGGGCATAAAAAGTTTGAGAACCATTGCTCAATTTATTAAACCCTGGATGAGGTGGAGGGCGTGACGTTTGAACCCAATATAATATATTATGAAATTTGTAACATTATCTTTGTTTTTCAGCACGCAATCAGATTTTGGAAGCATTAACGAAAATTCAGAAAATAAAAGTCAACATAAAGAAACAGATATGACGCAAAATAAGTGAGATGAAAAACTTTATTTGCATAAATGACATGATACTCACTATCAATAGCAGAATTTATTGAAATTTTTCTATAATTCCCAATCTGTTGAATTAGACATTGGAACTTTGGGTGTTGCGGGCTCGATAACCAGTTTTGGTTTGGTTTCTTCACCCACTAAAACCATGAACGATTTTTTTGCTGGTTGACCGGTTAATTTCACCCGGTTAGCGGTTAAAGTCATTTTCACAAAATTTACTGCCCTACTAATTATAATTTTTTTTTTATTTTAGATATGAAAAATGGATTATGCCCCTGTTTGCGGAGTTCTTTGGACAACTCATGTTTGCTTTTGTTCACTCCATGTCGGCTGGAAATGGGTTTGCAACAGCGTCTGCTATAACCGATGGAATATTTGTAACAATCATGGTCATTACGATTGGCCACATAAGGTATATACTTGTTGAATGCGAAGTACACATATCAGTCGTTTCACTATTTTCTTGTTGTTGTTGTTGTTGTTGTTGTTGAAAAACGCAATTTCCTCAACGACCTAGGGCGAAATTGATTTTTGTACCTGAGGATGGCTGGAGCCTCATAGAACCGGCTCTCAATCAACGGGCCATGGCTCACTTCCGGGCCACAGAAAAACTTTCAGTTGGGCCACCATATTGTTGAAAATTGCAACGGTTATTGGGAAATTTAGTTTCATTTGTGTAACTATATAGTTAGATTTTGATTGTAATAGCAATAAATGATGGATGCTACTTTTAATTCGAATTATTGAAGTAAAAATGTCCAATTTAGCGAAAACAGCTGGATCTTTTGTGCAGTGCCCACGCCGCTGATGCAAAAAAAGTGAAGTAAGACTTGAGAAACCACCAGCCACGTTTTAATTACAAATTAGTGATTAGCCAATTAGAGTTAGGATTTGAAATTCCATCGGTATCTGCTTTCTTAACCATATATCTTAATCTAACAGGAGGATTACTAAATATATATTTCATTTATTTGAAACGGTGCCGGATGTGTTTTTTAGCAGGGGCTTTGTACAAAAGGTTCCAATATATTAGTACTAACACGAAAATTGCAATTTTCACAAAAACAATCAACTTTTTCTACAGTGGCGCTCACGTGAACTCAGCAGTGACTGTCGGAGTTGCGCTATCTGGTGGAATGAGTTTGATACTGTTTGTTCCTTATATTGTTGTTCAACTACTTGGGTCTATGGCTGGAGCTGGCTTGGCTTACGTGAGTATTGTAACGTAAAGTATATATAGATACACGACAATAACGGGGTTCGAAACATTTGCAACGAACTCGCTAACGGCTGATTCCCTGATTTCAGAAAACAATGATAAAATGAAACATAAAAAATGGCGCTCCGGAAGTATGTGTACCGAGATGGCGCACAATCTGAACCCTAACCCGGTACACATACTTCAGGTGCTCCTAAAAATGACAAGAACGGGTTCGCTGGCAATTTAATAAACCGGATCTCTCCAATCCCGCCATTGGATACACCTTTTACACAACAATTTCAAATATATATTTATACTATATTGAATAAAGCCAAGTACTCTGACTTCTAAGCTTGCTTCAGTCATTTGACTCATTATCCTTCATACTTATCCTAAGATAAAGCCATATAATTACCGTCGAAAACTGAATCCCTTCTGAGATTTCAATACGAATGAGACCGCACACTGGCAGCTGCTAAACCACGTTTCTAGAAGCACCGTGGCGTTTCTGGTTCAACATTAAATTCTTAATTTTGATACACTCTTGGTGGTGTTTGTATCTATTTTTAATATTCATCCGGAAAAAGTCGGATAAACGTCCCAATCGGCAATCCTATGACGACACACAGCCTGTCAACCTTGTTGTATTTACTTTCCTCTCCCTTGTATAGAAAAATTCTATTCTAGTTTTACGCATAAGAAGGGAGGAACAAAGAATTCCAAATTAGGCAAAGGGGGGTCAACGAAAAAGGTTGCGAACCACTGCTCTGATTCCTCTATTCATTTTCTTATCAGGTATCGTTTGGAAGCGCCCAGGGGGCATTTGGACTTGGCGCTGGTGTGACAGTAGGCCAAGGAGTTTTGTGCGAGGCCATGCTGACTATATTGCTCGTGTTTGCTGTATTGATGGGAGCAGTGGACCAAGGTTCGATTCTTGCGGCGTTCGGAATCGGTTTCACAATTATGATTGACATATTTGCAGGGTGAGTTTCTTGGTTTATTCATTAAATTCTTTCCGAATTAACGTAATTTCGAAAATCGGTGATTTGAAGTAGATATAATAGACCGACATATCCAGCTTGCTACATTCAACATACATTTAATTTGTCTCATTTCTATTTAATAGCAGTACGTTGACTTAATTATTACATTTTTCTTGCAGAAACAAAATCACTGGAGCATGCATGAATCCGTCTCTTAGTTTCGGTCCAGCGGTTGTATCTGGCAAATGGCAGAATTATTGGGTTTACTGGGTCGGACCGATATTGGGATCTTTGATTGCTGTGGCATTGTACAGGTAATTTCCTTTTTTATTCCGAGGGGGGAAAGAGGATAATACGGTTTGATGAAGCGCCTTTCTGAGAGCTAACAAACAAACAGACAAATACATATCAACATACTTACCGATCGAGATCGATACGTAATAACCGTACCATCACGGTACCGTACTGATATTGCTGGTCATATCGACAGGCATATTATACGTTTATGCGGCCAGAAAACGCTATCGGGCGTTCGCCAGCGCAGACAAACGCAGCGCAACGAAACGTAGGCCACCGCAAACGAATAAAATACACTGCAGTGAGTTCGCACACTGTCGTGTTTACCGGTCTTAACGATTATCATTATGCCAACCCCGAGACGCGGTTAAATTAAATTCTTACTTGATGAATTGAAACGCTTCATTGGGAAATGCTTGAAAGCGCATTTATTAATTTTTATCATCAAAATGACTCGTTGAATTTTTTTTTCGCCCCATCGTTAACTGCAAGGAGGATATCCATTTCTGTAATGAGTTTAGCAGAGACATGCATTCTATTGGACAACTATAGATCGTTTTGTTATTATGTTGTTGTTGTTAGCATTCTTCTTTTTCTTGTTGTGAAAAAATCACTTGCATAGGAGTTCCGCAATATCTAATGACCACCCTGTCAATTTTTACTTATTTTTTATTCATATTTTTAGACTTTTACTGGGAAACCGAGAGAAACGTTTATTTTTCAACGATGGAGAAGGACCATTAGATGGGGCAGCAATGAAACGCAGGGAAGAAGCCGCTTCTTCAAATACCGGCTTCCAGGGTGACCCAGAGCAATCCCGGATGTAATTACTTCCGTGTTCGACTGAACTCTCAATTTTTAACACCATAGTTTCATAAACATCAACGACTCTTATTATCCACAAAATGCTTTACATACTCGTAAACTAAACTTTAATATCACAGATAATAAGTTGGTACTCCCGTAGTATGTGTACCAGGTTAGGTTTAGTCCACAATTTTATTCCGATTTTCCTTGTTTTAGTACTATTACGAGTTCGGAGATTGTCTGTGTTAGCTAAGTGGGTATCCCCAGTGATGGAATTCAAATTTTTTGTCAGCAGGTTCCATCACACAAATGTCATATTTTTTAGGCGGTTCTGTTACAAAAAGTCATGTAATGCTAACCGGTTCGCTGATCTCATAACATTTCGTGAGACGGTTCTATAGAACCGGTGCGAACCGGCAGAATCTCACTAATGGATATACCCCCTGTCCATGCGCTTCCGTCCCTTTACAAAACTTGATGTAAAGTAGGCGAACAAAATTAGTTACCTCCATATTGGTACACACACTTCTTGAGTGCCAATAATTTTGCCATAACGGGACTTTGTCAAATGGTAGATATACCCAAAACAATTTGTAATACATGGGTATATATTATGCTGTGCTACTCTGGCATTAATTAATATTCAAGCCTTTCGCTCCGAGCAGAAATCACCGGTAAGGGCCTGGTTTTGGAAATGGCGTGATTTTTCCATTTGGCATTGCTGAATTGAATTAATTACACCCCCGGGGATTTCCGCAAAAGATAATTGGAGTCGATACGCCCTGCTTTGAGGAAGAAAGAAGAGAAAAAAAGATGAGAAAAAAAAAGGAAAAAAAGAGAAAAAAAAAAGAGAGAAAAAAATGCTTTGAGGAATCAAATTGATTTTCGCGTTTTGTTCAAGTTGAAGATTTTTTATCCGGTTTTTAGTAATGTTCGCCACTTATTGGAGTTTTTATATATATAATTGTCTCAGTGTGTAGGCGATATCTATATTTTCAATCTCAATTACGTTTAGTTTACAGATATCTCTATTGCTCATTTTTCTTCAATATATATTCATACCAATGACAGTGTTTGCTGGTGTCAGGCTTTATTTTTCATAGGGCAAATATCAGATTGCGCCAATGGCAAATTCCAAAAATTCTTCCCCCCATGCAGTTAACCGACAGTTTTTGGTACTACTTCCGTGGTACCAGGTTAGGGTATCATTATATTCCAATTTTCCTTATTATAGTTCTATTACGAGTTCGGGACTGTCTGTGTTAGCCAAGTGAATATAACCCCTGTTCATAGGTTTTAGCCCCTTTTACACGACTCGATGTAAAGCAGGCGAACAAAATTAGTTACCTCCATATCGGTACACATACTTCTGGAGCGCCCAAATTTTACCGACTGTTGGTAAAATTTGATACTTGTACGTCATTATTTAGGAAAAACCGTTTCAATTATTTTATCGAAACATTTTAAGATTAGGTCTTTACGCGCTGTCAAAACGGCGCCCATGGCTGCCATAACCTAGATACGCCATAATATAAGCCAAAGTAAACATCAACAGTTGTGTCGCAATGTAAGAAACTTGCGCTTTCGTTCTAAAATGATGACATTTTCTAAGTTGCAGTCAACATTTAGGAGGTTATAAGAAGCCTAACTTTTATCGAACCGTTTCTGAGCGAAAAAAATGAAACTTCGCAAGGAATCTACTTATATGCTTGCAATGGCGGCGAGGGATTCTCCTGAATAAACCTATTCCAAGGCACAGAAATATTGTTTTGCTGTTCCACAAAATTGAAGATTTTCCTCACATCTGCGTTGATTACGTAAGTTCCCATAAAACCTACCTTCATGAAAAATCAGATATTTTTTAGCTCAATATCATTATACAATCTGCATGTAGATCAACAGCTCCGTTCAACATTTGTTCAACGGATGGCGCTTGTCGATACACCCTTCTTTGACACTGTGATCATGCAACTGGCCAACTATTCCTGGACCGTACAGTCGAAACCCCACCACAGGTCATGGAACGTTATATGATTTGGTCATTTTTTTTTCTAGGATATAACAATCCTTTACGCCAGAGACCGTTAGTTTTTTTTTCTTTCTTTTTCCCACGACCCCGCGTCTTGTTCTCATAGGAATTTTTCTTTAGGGGTCGTTCGACATAGTTGACCTTGTCTTGTCAACTTTAGTCATTTGCACAAAATGTCTTTAATACTTAATTACGTGCGAGAGGGTTGCCGGACTCCACGTCGCTGTAGATTGGTTCGCGAACCACCGGTCGGTTACGGCTTCCTCTATAAAGTCATCGCATCTGAAGTGGCTAACTAATCCCATACCAGACATGGATTGGTAACCGGACGAGAGACAGTGGTTCGTCACATGATCAAGACTTCTTGTCGATTTTTCTCTCCCCGGGATAAATATGTAAATCCTATCCTACCATTGTTTTAGGCCTTATATTTAGACTACGGCAGCAAATGTATAACGTGCAACGGAGCTAACGTCTAGCCTTATATTTTGACATTTTAATAAGTTTGTATCCCAGGCCTATTAGATTTGTGTAAACTATGCTATGCCACATCGACTACATAGCCCTTGTCCCATGTAGTTCAAGAGAAGGCCATTATGACCGCTTACCCGGGCAAAAAGAATTTAATAGTAAATAGTAGAATCAGAAATAATTTAATTATCAATATTTCCAAAAAAAACGACATTAAAGTACAAGGGGCGAGAAAAAAAATTTCACTACAAAAAAAAGATCTTGTCCAATACGAGCATCAATAACATACAATACTCATCCTACTGTTATGCTGTAGGATATTCACATGGGATTGGATAATTTTACAGTCGGAGAGCTTGTCTACTTCGACAGCTAGACCAACAAAGTTTCTGAACATCTATAAATTGTGCAAAACAAGAGCAAATGCGCCGAAAATATCTAATATTTGCAACCGATCCAAAATCGAGAAACCAAGTTCCTCTATATAACTCACAAAAGCTCACCTCTTAACTTGTTCACATCACAGTTTAAACATACCAAGTATGTACGCAATACCGTCTCTAGTGAACTCTGGTAATTAACATATAACAAGTAAAACACCATAGATTCTAGAAAGAGCAGAGATTATACTAGGGAAAGATAAAGCTCTATGCAGACTTTTAAATGTATGTTGGTAAGATAGAATTCCAGCTCCTTTTTATCTACTGCAAGATGTATTTCAAGTTTTCAACACAATACTTCAAACCTCTTTGATCTTTGTTAATGTACACTCACTCAATTATCTACAGATCCACCACGGCATAGATGGAAGAGAGGGGGGGGGGAGGAGTATTTTCACATACACATAAAGAACACATAAATAATATAATCAACTTACCTGTTTAGAAATGCACCATCATAATTCTATATAGGTAGTAGGTCTTAGCATTTCAGTGGTGCACATAACTTCGCTTAGAGACAAGTCTCCTTTACTTCTAGGTCGGAGAGAGAAAACCTGCCCTTTAGCAAATATTTTAGGTTTTTTCATTTCAGTACGCTTTAGTAAAAGCACAGTTGTCTTGCTAATTATGGTCGAGTCTACTCAAGTCTGTTGAGTCTATCCGATAACAGTAATAAAGACAAAGTGAGTGAGTCTCTATCACAGAAGGGTTACCAGTTGCATCCTTCTTCATGATGCAAGTTCATGCATCCAGATCAGGGGTGTGCAACCTTTATTTGTCGATGGGCCAGCTTCAGCCATCTAACTGGGCCACACAAAAAAAATTAGTTTTTCCGTGTACGCAACGAATTACGGTAATAAAGGAAATACGGGGGAAAATTTAACAAATGAAAAAGTAATTTTACCGATGTGAGCATATTTTTAAACATAAATTGTCGGATTATCATATTATGCTTGATGGGGAAAATTCCGAGTGTTGACTAGGGCCACACAAAATGGCTTGGCAGGCCAGATTGTGGCACACAGGTCACACGTTGCACATCTCTGATCTAGATCTATTCGAAATGGTGAAGGGACCAAAGAGATCTGCCATATGCTAAAGACATGGTATGGTCGAGATGCCCTACTGGGTAATGATGGAGCCGAACTTTGTTTCCATCACAGCACAAAAATCTCTCTTTTTAACCCCATATTCACCCCAAGGTGTAAGAAATTGGGTAAACAAGGCTGATGATTCGAAAGAATTTGTGACCTTCCAAAAATGAGGGGAGGCCACTATCTCAAGGAGAGTAAAGCACAGAGTATAGCTTGCTCATGTGGTTAACATAATGACTACTAGAATTAGACTGGTATACACCACGGAGGGAAGCATAAAGAATGGTGGCTCCTTTAAGAATCAGTCGATCGGATCTTTGCTCCAAAGTGAAGGTGAGAAGCCCCTATCTTCCTTCCAAAATGAATATGCAAATCTCTTTCAATGATACTCTCCCCTACAAGGATAAAACATATCCAGCTATGTCTCAAGAACAAAATGGCACATTCTCTTTGGGCAATGCTGGTTTGTAAAATAGTAAAGTCTGTAAAAACGAGGTAAATTCATTTTAGACTGAATGAAAGCTTCGGTCTTGAGTTTTTCTTTCCCAAAATTATTGTCTGATCTTGTTTGATCTGTTTTTTCCTTTCCTCATTCATTTTCATTCTTTCTTCATGCATGAGTCTCTGTTCTTCGACCATTGCCAGACGTTCCTCAGCCTGAACAAATAAACAATGAAATTAGCCATATGTCCTAGATTAGGGTTACCATATTAGAAAAAGCAAAATTCCGAACAGTGCATGACTATTTTCATGACCTCGTAGTAAAAAATATGCGTACGATACGATAACCAAGTTCTGTATTAGAAGTGTGCACAGTACGATTGCAGATGCAGTAAAATTCCGGATTTCGGACATTTGAGCATTTTTGAAATTCTTCCTGGACGCAAAATTTAACCCTAAACTCAGGACATGTCCCGAATTTTCCGGACAGTATGGCAACCCTATCCTAGATCCTGTTAGATATTGATCAACTTTAACAGGACACAGGAATACCACAAGAGAATCTTGCCAGTGAAATGGAGAACAGGGAAAGTTGAAAGAAGATAGTCATAGTAAATGTTCGACTGTGGTTGCATAACCTAACCTAGATCTGGGAGTTTCACACCTTCTGTCTGCCCTTGAAGTGGTTAACACGGGCCCACAATAAATTTATCAAAATAAAAAAATAATTATTTTTATTTTGTTATTTGCCGATTAATGTTCATGAACAAACTAAATTACTTTTTGTAATGCTTTGTATTCAAAAAAAATTTAGTATTATAATAGGTACACAAAGAGCCCGCAGAGCCCTGGGGCTCAGTCTGGAGCACAAAGAAAACCTATATAGTATATAGGTAATTCGAGGCCTGGTTGGCCGCTATTTTTGTGGTAAATAGAGATTTGTGTCACAAGAATGCCCCTCTTTTTTCACATTTTAGTACACTTGTCCTACTTGTCCCACTGCTCCATGTTAGAGTAGATAATTATTGTGGGACAATTGGTTAAAGTTGGCATCAGGGATTCATGGTATGTTCTAGGTTAGATATGATACTTAGGCAGAAGGTAGAGTATTTATATTAGGTTGTTCCTCAGCTTCAAGAAAATAAGCAATAAAATGAGCAATAAGTCTAAGATTGGGTTTCTTTGGTCAGGCCCTCAGCCCCCTAAGAGGGCCACAGAATCACTTTCTGAGGGCTTCATTCTTTTGCTTCATTTGGCGAATAAAATAACTGGTTAATAAATATTTTGCCGGTATTTTACTGTGAATTTGATTCATATTAACTGTTATTTTTGCTTATATTGTGGTATTTTACTGTGCTATTTTTGTATTTGCCTGTGTTAATTGATTTGTTTGCGTTATTTGATATAGAACACGATGTTCTGGTGCAATGAATTAATTGAAACAAATTGAATAGAGTATTAATATGAAGTGAGATTCACACAACTGGGACAAGAGTGACATAATTGGATCAAGACATTTTTACAGACATTATACAGAGAGCGCTCGGCCGCTTGGTTGCTATAAAAAGAAAGTAAACTTTCACATTATTGATCCACAATTATTGTTTCCTGTTTCCTTTTCTTTCAAAACCTTGTCATTCATTGTAATAGAAAATTACCATTTCTATGAATATATAATGATCTCTTTTGTTCGCGCAGAGCCTAATTATCGAAAAAAAAACTCATGGCGCACTTACACAAAAAAAAAAAATTGCTGCTGTTATGAATAAAACTCAATTTTGTGATTATTAATGTGTAGCCTACTTTATGCCAGTATGTTTGTCGACATATAGGCCTGAATTCATTGATTCATATACACAACGTTTCAAATAAGAATATTTCCAGCCTAGGATGTTACCACAATCCCTAGATTTGAACTACCTTGGTGCCTAAGTATTTGAGCACCGCTCCGAGTTCACTCCGAGCACTCAGTCCGAGTTCTACTTGATTTTTTTAGAAATCTTATTCATCATGCTTTTCACTCATAAACCAGTCAGAGATATCCACAATATAAGCGTCTCACTTTACATTGGATCGTCAGCAATACGCAAAATGTAACGCAACTATAGATGTTATAACAGACACCCAGATATTTTTCAAACATATAAACCAGTAGGCGCCAACTCGAGAAATCACCCATAAATTAAGCACCAAAAATTTTGCAATCGTAATGTATAGGAAGAATTTTCCAGCGTCAGAGGCCAGGAAAACATACATGGTTTCAAGTTTTCAATATAAAGACATCTCTGTCACAGATATAAAACTATATGGGATTAGTTAGCCAGTTATTTGTTTTCATATGAATGGACTTAAGGTGGAGGAAGCCGTAACCTACCAGCGGTAACATGAACCACCCTACAATGACAAGGTGTCCAGCAATCCTATCGCGCATAATTAACTCCGCATGGGATTCAAACCTGCCATACCATGCCGGGTAATCCGAAATGCGGCAGCGAGCGTATTCCTAATGCCAGGCACGATGCGCCACACCCGCTGACTCATCTATCTAACTTTAACTTATATTTACAGTCTTTATAGAAGTTGTTTTGAGCAAATTTCTATAAAAAAAGTACTTACCAGTTTTTTCTGTGCTTCAGCTATTTTTTTGTTATTTTCTTCCATAATTCTCTCCAATTCTTCCCTTTTCTTTTCCTCTTGATTCTGGGTAAATGCGAAACAAGATTTTAGATTAAAAAAGGTAAACATTTTATCTCAGTAATGGCGCGTTGGAACAAACACTAAAAATCCACCTAACAGTGCTCATAAAAGCTAGTCTGAAAGTAAGCTGGAATTCCGATATTGAAAAATTTGTTTTGATTGTAAAAATACCTAAAATCAGCTTTTTGGTAAAAATTTGTGGTATTTTTCATTGAAATCATAATTATTATATAAAAAATAGGGAACTTTAGTATATGATAACTCCTATATCTTCAGAAGAGCAAAAATCCGCAAAAAAGACATACATTAGATCCTTAACATGTGAGGTATACAGTAAACAAATGAAATTTTGTGTCTGTCAATGTTTTCTGAGGTATGGTGTAGCCAACAACACGATAAACACTTGTTGTTATGAAGCACAACACACAAAGACAAATAATATAGGTTTTGCAAATGAGTCAAATGTCAATAAAAACACTATCTATGAGGCCAAAACAATTGGAAAGCTGGCAAGCGTGATATTGTTCCTGTTAACAGTTGTGTATACTTTACTAGGAGCTCAGTGGCAACTATACGCCAGAACCGTGTCCGGAAAATTCGCCACATAGGAAAAACCGCAAGAGCATTTTGCTGTAAAACAAGTATTTGTGATTAAACAGTTAGGTTAGGGTATACTCTTGAATAACATATCTTTTTCGAGTAAGGCAATTTTTCATACGTGGCGAATTTTCCTAGAACCCGCTAGAACTAGCTGCTGCAACGAAAGTCGAGAAAACAATGTTCGACCTGGGTAATCTTCTTCAAACAACAGAACAAAGCTTTCTATACACACAAGACTTTGCTGTCAGTTGTTCATCGATGCATATGCATTACTTACCTACCAAATCAGTCATATAAGCGCTACACCCTCCGCGGGTGACTTAAATATTTTCAGCCACAGAGACTTGCAAACTTCAAGAATTCTAATAAATTGAAGGGTAGATATGTTTAGCTGGCTGATGATTTTACTTAGTACTATTCTACTTGAACCAAAAATATTAACAAGAATAATATGTTAAAAATAGTGCAGGGCTGTATGAGTGTTGACAGAATGGGTTACAGTTACAGGCAGTGGAATTTTCAAAGGAAGAGGGGGGGGTCTGAAATAGGTAATTTTGTCAAGTTAGACCGCAAGAGCTAGCGGAAAAATGCAGGCTTCCAGCGGTCTTGAGGGTGTTAAAAGCTGCTATGTATAATACCAAAATAAATTTTTTTTCCACATTTCGAAGAGGGGGAATGTGTTGACAACTCAGTGGAAGCTTGCAACACTTTTATTACCTACGCAGAACGCATTTCTAGTTGTGCATTTATTAAGCAAACCGGCATAAAAAAGGCCAAGTCATATCAACAACACATACAGCCCAACATTATTCAGTTATTACACCTTCAAGTATCGCAAGGTATTTTGGCTGTTTCCAGAGAAACAGTCAATTTTATATCTGACAGTCTTCATCCTACAGAAGAATGAAAACCCTATTATTGATATTCCTAGGTTGTAAGTCTAGTTTGATTTTGGTGAAGCAAGGTCTAAATAAGGTAAGTTTTTCAATAGTAGCCAGAGGTGCCCAAAACGAATCGAACACAGTTAGGTTCATTGTATATTCAATACAGTATACTTCTTAAACCAGGAAATTTTGAATCAAATGTTCAAATTCTAATATCAGTAAAAACAGTGCCACAATCATCCATTATATTTCAACAAATTCAATATTTTTAATAGCACATATTGATTTGTGCAAATACCTACCGGTACTTTAAAAATAACTCCATTTGAAGCTTATTGAATATTCTATAATCAAAATTTATTTTAAAATGTATTTATAATAAAACAATTTGTTCAATCTTGGCCACCTCTGGTAATAGACTTTTATTTTTACATAGAATAAAGTGATAAACTCTACCTCCATATCTTGTTTTGCTTTAATCTCTGCGAGACGCTGGCGTTCTAGTTCCTCTATCATTTTCTTTTCCATTTCAGTCTTCATCACTTCGACACGTCTTGCAACCTGTTCAGATATGATAAAGGAAATCTTAATTTCAGAATTCAAATTTCCAATTTTATTTTTAGAAAAATTTAAAAAGCATTTTCAGTATGGCCTACTATTGCAGTAAGATTATGATTTATGTCAACTCAGCCATATATCATAACTTCATAGCAAAATGGGACATTTTAAAAATTCAACAAAAATAAATTGCTTAGAAAAGAACTCTAGTGTACCTAATATAGGATATAAATTTATCTAATTTAAACCTATAAATTTCGTAAAACTGTACTAAATACTAGAAAGTAGATATTTTTGCACGGTCTATAAAATACTTATTTTAAAACTCTTAATAGTGTAACACGATGAAGCATTTTCCCTCAAATTATTAAGAAAAAAGACTCCTATCTGCATATATTTATATAGTGCGTGATTCCAATTTTCTTGGTTGATTTAGTACTTGAATGACATACTGCTGTAACTGTAAAGAATAAAAGTAGAATAATTTAGAGTTGAATCCTTTTGTTGTCCATGGAACTATAGCACTTAGATCCTCTCAACGACTGTAGATAATTTGTAATAAAAAGGAAGAAAAATTCTACATGATTCAAGAGTCTTGCTGCACACTACAATCGTAATAAAATCAGACATTTTGATGTAAAAGTTGAAAATTTTTCAGAAAAAAAAAACAATTTTAATTACGAAAAACCTTAAATATCTGATTTTGAATATTCATCATTATTTCAGCGCATTGCAAGTTTCAACACAAGATATACTTGACAAATTATCAGGTGCTAAAATTTTTATGAGGCGCTAGAAAATTATGTGCCACCCTAGCTTAATTAAAATGTCACTGATATGATTAACATAATTGAAAATATTCAAGCTTTGCTCCTCTTGCATATCATAGATAAATATGCAATGCTTGGAACCTGGGTAGAAAAATCACCAGTCAATTTTTTTAAATTTTTTATTCTCAAACTAGTGACACACAATGCTGCGTGGGTGTCATTATTGTGGCATAGACGTATTTTATCAAGTGGATGTGTGCGTAACGCAAGGATGCTGTAGCAAGATTAAAGATAACTATTCTATTTGACTCAAAGAGTCTTGCTACACACAAACACAAACATATTTCAATGGAATAGATTAGCATTTACTCTATTAAATACAGAGAAAAATCAGGCTTTTAAATGATTTCCACTTGAGGGAAATCCCTTTCTTTTGACAAATATTCTTATATTGATATTCTAAGCTCTCCTCTAATCAATATGGCTTATACAATGAACCTATGTTATAGTATACGAAAATCATCTTTGGGAAGTGTATGCCTATCCTTAACATAAATCCATAGTGGTCTTTGATAGTATCAGTGATATTTGTATTGATTTTATTTATTCTGGCTTTCTGAGAGACCTTTGAATCTGGTCTGATAAGGTAACACAATTAATTGTCAACTGTTATGTAATCAAGGGTATTTCATATGATTGTGCAATGATATTACTATACATTCCAGTAAATAATTTTATTTTATTTTTATATTATATAAAATATTTAATATAGGCTACTTATTGATTAACATGATATTGATAATACATATTGATCAAATGCTTAGTGCAATAAAATTTCTCTACCCTATACCCCAATATAGGAAATATTTATATTCTATGATAACAAAATTGATGATACCATACAATTTACCCCAAGCAAGAATCCCTGATACGGAAAGAAACACAATATTTATCAAATGGCTGCAATTACCGATTTTGAATTTGGTCCAATTTATTACACTTCGAGTAAGGTTAAAATTGATTTTTCAAACTGCGATGCCAACAGTTAAACCAAACGCACAATCAGGCCATCATGCCCTAGGGGTTACAGTAATACTGATTTGACATATGATCTACCTACGTAGTGCACTATTACACACTTCGCGAGAAGGGGAGTGCACTTTGAACCTGACATTAAAACACAGTTGAATAAGAAAAATTTCTTCCGCGAAACTGAATTTCGCCGTTTTTGATGCGGAAATACAAAATATCACCCTGTATTCAGTGTTCTTTTACTAATAATAGTTAGTATTTTTGTAATGCATATTTATGCAAACATTCAAACAACACAAAAGCTGGAGTGCGAATTACACTCAAAGCTAGCTAAACAGAGAACCTTATTAAATAAAAGAATACAATTTTTTGCATAATGGGGACGAAATAAAGAGTTTCAAAATGGCCAAAGAAAAGGAATTTGTTGAGAAAAGGTTGAGAATCATTGTCTTAGCCATGCCCTGTTCAATAATCCAATATTCACCTCGGCCTCTATGTCTGCCTTCCGTTTTTCCAATTCTTCCTGGACTCGTTTCTCGACGAGAGCTTCCACTCGTTTGGCCGTTTCTTCTTCAATCTTTTTCTCCTCAAGTTCCTTCTGACGTCTGAAAAGTTGGGTGTAATGCATTATTTATTTTGTAGAAGTTGACATGGGTTGGTTATTAATAACTGGAGCTTTATAGACTACATCGGCGTTTCCCCAACCAGGAAGGATCTTACTGTTTTATAAGGGGAATTGATGCTCTTGAAGTGTGTGTACCAGGTTAGGGTTAGGCCATAATTTTATTCCGATTTTCCTTATTTTAGTTCTATTACGGGTTCAGGAACTGTCTGTGTTGGCCAAGTGAATATACCCCCTGCGAATAAGTTTTAGTCCCTTTACACAACTTGATGTAAATTTAGCAAACAAAATTGGTTACCTCCACATTATTGGTACACACACTCTGTGGAGCGCCAAGAATTTTTATCTTGCATTTGCAAATATTCCTTACTCGGGAATTATTTTAATAATATTTATGCACACATTATGAAATATTTAAATGATATCCTACAAAATCGAGTGAAAGGCTTCATCACGACATTAAAAATTAAAAAAATCGACAAGTCTTGATCTTACATGACAAGTGCAAGACGTATATTATAATATAAAAAAATTTAAAATTCAACGAGTCTTGTTTCTTACATTACTCTTTGTCGTTCCATTTCTGCTCGGACTTCTTCTTCCTCTCTTCGTTTCTTTTCTTCTTGAGCAGTTCGCTTGCTGATAGCTCGGCCAAACATATCGACACGCTCATATGATCGTGACCTTGATCGGGACCTTCGAGAACTCGACCTGGAACCACGATGACGTTTTCTTTCCGCTGATCGATCACGATGTCGTGAACTGGAATGGCGTTCCCGTGATCGCGACCTCGATCGTTTACTGCTTTTACTACTATGCTTGCTGTGTTTCGTTTTTTTTACTGAATTCAAATCAGGGCTTTTGCTCCGTGATTTTGACATTTTTTTTATAGTTTTCAGTTCAAATATATAAAATTTACAATATGAGGTTTTATATAAATATATAGCTGATTTATATCTAGATAAAGAAAATTAAAAGAATGAATGTTTTAGCTAGATCCTAGATGGACCTATTCATGTCAGATACCGCTATATTTTGAAGACAGCAAAAGACATGTCTGCTGTCTCATATGAATTGTTGTCTCAAATGTTTAATACTTTATAGCTGAAATTAAAGCTAGGTAGTAATGCAGTTTGAGTACGGTAACTTACAAGCCTTTTAGGCTCTACGATAGGCTGTGTATGGTAGACTATATACTCCAGACTGGATTCCATGGCAGGTGCACGCCCGAGGGCGCTAGCGCTCCGCAAAAATGCACGCGAGCGAAATCAATTTTGCACGCCGAAAATTTGCAATTGCTCACCAATGTAAATCGGTTTAAATGGTTTTAAAATCAATAATCCAGTAATATAAAGATGCCAAAATATATAACTCCACAATTGTCGACAAATACCAGCTTGCAAGATTTGGTCTGATCGAAATATTGCGAAGCAAAAAGACCATGGACCTTTCCCAAACCTTTGACCCGCGAAAAATTCCTCTCATTGTTACGTCCTTTTTTGCATCTTGCTGATTGGCCAATGTCACGAAGTAAACAAGGAAGTCGATGCTCGGGGAAAGGTCCATATCGTGTTGAATGATAGGAAATAGGAATCCCGTGAAAATAGTTATGGACGAAAAGATCGCCTCCGCACCAATGGCCAAGTACGGCTCTGATTCAGCGTATTTTTTATACAATAATTTTACACGAATGTACTGAACAGTACCGGTATCTAAAGTTGCTCAAACACTCCCAAAATTAGTGACAAAGTATGAAAATAATGTTTGGGTCAAAGGTCAAACGTCCATTTTGCTCTAATTTGACGTATTTTTTATCCATTAATTCTACGTAAAAACACTACCAAAATTAATGACAAAGTATGTCCATTTTGCTCTGGTTCAACGTATTTTTTATCCAATAATTTTACGCGGATGTACTGAACAGTACCGGTATCCAAAGTCGCACAAACACTCTCAAAATTAGCGACAAACTGTAGAAATAATGTTTGGGGTCAAAGGTCAAACGTCCATTTTTCTCTGATTCAACGTATTTTTTATCCGATACCGGTAATTTTACGCGGATGTATTGAGAGGTATCTGATGTCAAAGTCAGTTGCACGCGAGTGCAGTTGTTTTGCACGTCGTGAGCTATAATTGCACGCCAGGAATTCTTATTTGCACGCGGGAATTTCTGATTGCACGCCCGATTTCTCGTTCAAAAAGGCCATGAAATCCAGACTGGTATATACTGATATAGGCTTTTTTAATATTCAGGATATTCTGATATTGCAGTTCCGCAGTTATAAACATATAGACTAATTCATATTGTTCAAGTGTAATACAGTAATAGTCTACCATGTTCTGATGTTATGCTTGCCATGGGTCTATCGCTTTCATCAATCATATGATTACTGGATTATATACCTGTATACGGTATTTATTCAGTTTTCTAATACCAGAATACTGTAAAACCAGAATACAGTAAACCCAGCTGCATAGAATTATAACACTGTGACAACACAGAAATTGGCTCTAAGCAAATCTCCTAAAATACAAAAAAAAAAGACAAACAAACAAAGTATATCATACCGGTACGGTATAATCTAAAAGGTTCCAGAATACAGACTCTGAGAAATTCTTACAGTTGTGGATAAATTGAGCCAGCTGTCTGCCTGTAGACCAGATAAGCAAGCCTATCCATTCAATTTGGTAACTTGCTGTCATTGTCCCTCTACGGGAATAAATATGCAGAAATCTCAGCTTTAGAGCTTAGTAATACATAAACAACATGCTCCGCTCGGCAACACCGAAATCGGCAAAAGAAAACGAATCCAAAGCGCCGGAGGTAATCGCAGTTCACAAAGAGTCCGTTCTTTTGTTTGACGTCATCAATGATTACGACACCAGGTGGGAGACATTGATTTCTTCTCTTGCAAGGCAGTGGTGAAAGCGAGAGGTGTGAAATGAGAGTTGAGGATATTAACAACTATAGAGGCGTCGCTTGCTTTTATAGAATGCCCCGCTGAGGATGTAATAATCAGCTCTTTATGTGAAGCATCTTTAAACCTAGCGCCATGTACCGGGAATTTCATTATTTTTTGAACTCGAAGCGTGCATTTGAATCGTTTTGTTGGACACGAAATACACCTATGGATCGTTATATTTTATAACTCAATTTATACTAACGAAACACATTACTTATAGGTTACACAGTCGAAAAAACATTCCGTAAAAGTGCCTAACTTCGGACAACAATTTTGAACTGTCATATCTTGGCTGAAAAGCGCCGTATATTGTCAATTCCAATTACAAAAGCTAGCGCTGTTATGTGTACATCTGGTGCTCACCAACAATAACAGTAGTTTAGAATTAGATAAAAGAGTGTGACTGCTGATAACTAGCTTCGGTTCTTCGCGACTTCCCTTCACCAGTAAAACGGTGTAAATATCTATTTTCTCGTAATTTGTATATCATTGATTTTGACTCAGATAATTGGCTAAAGACGAATGGCTATACTAAGTATCAGGAAAAATTCTAACCGAAGACTAGTAAAGAATTGATACTCCACCACATTCCTAACTCAGACAAAACCTAATTGGACACGTAGTGGACATAACGATCGTTTCAAAATTTTGTTTTTATTGTTATTATTATTTGTCTCCATCATTTTAAAAAAAAATCGCTTTTCTCTTCGAATGCTGGACCAATTGCTTTGAAATTTGTGAGTGAGTAAAGATTGATTTTTTTGCCAGAAGGCTATTACTTTTATTTATTTCTAAATTTCGCATGAAATCTGTGATAATTCGTCTAAAATTTCGCTGTATTATTTTATTCATGGGAACACTGGCTGTCCGGTTTGATTCTGTAAATTATTTCTACGCGAAACTCGGAATTTTTTGTGGGTACCGGTGGCGTCAAAGGTAAATACTGCTTCGCTCTGGTTAACGTGTCCATATATTTGAGCACAGCTCTCTTGTTTTGATAACAAATACTACTGACGTATACAAGCCTTCTTTGACAGACTGTTGAAAATGCTAAGTAGACATTCATTAAAGATTGCATATTTGTAATAAGTATAAGTTTATTTCGACTCCATAATCAGCAATAGACGATAAAAAAATAGATAAAAACAAAAGTAAAAGTAACTGATTATAGAATCGGGAAAGCGAACAAAACCTAGAGTAAGGTTTGAAACGTACAGATTTTAGATGGAAAGGTATTGATAAAAGAAGTAGTACGTGTTCGCTCGCCCAAATTTATTAGAATAGAGACTCCCGATTATTAAATAGTTTAGACTGTAGAATTTCAACTGAGGAACTTTGAAAACGACTTCAGTGAAAACTTGCCCACTCAGAATATATATTTTAATATAAGCCATCAAAGTCCAATTGATATAATAAGGCCTCCACGCCTTTCTATCTATGCAAATAAAGACAGATAGAAGATTGGACCCCTATTACCTACCCATGCTCTATTATTCATGATTACCCAGGCTTTCGAACACATAAATTCCAAAACACTCGAGCAGAATTCAAGATTTAATATAATGTATTTAATTGCACATAATGAAAAAGAAATCAAATCAACTTGGCAAAATCATCATCAGTCTGTCTGTTTGTTGGAGAATGATAAATAGATTGACTTTCTTTTGTCATTCTCAACATTTCATCAGTATTTGTTGAAAGTCCAGACATGTGCTGGTAGAAATCTTCTTTTTCTACTTGAACTGTTGCAGATGTTATTCCCGCTTCTTTTAATATCGGTGTTACCTGACACAAGGAACAAGAAGTTATAAACAAGATACATTGAACACATGCGCAGCTATTAAACGGATAGCCCTATGACTTGATACCTCTCAATGAGAACTTAAGGCTCTAGGTCAGTGGTTCTTAAACTTTTTCGAGCGCGACCTAAATCTGAGTTTTATGAATACTCGCGACCCAATCCTAAACAACGCAAAATGTGTTTTTAATGTTAGTACAGTTTGACTCGAATACAGACAACTATTTATTAGAAACAGTCCATTGACTCAGTGAGATTGATGAAACTGAAATTTCCTTTTCATTATATCTTCAATACACAGCTCTATTTTACTTAACGAAATACGCAAGTTGTCACGGGTATCGAGGCGATTGCGAGCTCAGTTTTGATAACCGCCAGTGCCAAATATCCTCGCTCGCACAAGTGCCTTGTCGCGAATTGTAGCAGAAAAGGCGTCCGCTGTCCGTCGCAAACACGACATCCTAGCTGGCTTTCGGTATCTCTCGCAATATACAACTTTTTACTCATCAAATGTGCACACACTGCTTCGTTCGCGGTAAATGGTGCCTCAAGATGAAGTCACATTTTCTCTAGATATTTAATAATCTAATGTCGAGAAGCGAGCTTTTTTATTGCGTCGTCTATTACAATTTACATTACCAAAAAGACACCCATTTTTAGTTATTTTAATCCACTAAGACGACATTCCGCGCGGTCAACACAACGACAAGCGACGTGCATGGTTACCGATACCATAAAAGTAATACACGTGACTGGCATATCAGAATTGTGATGTAACAATGAGCTCAAGACAGTTTTTTCCGTGAATGAAATTTGATATTTCATTATTTTTAAATACCAGAGTTTAGAAGCTAAATTGAAACATTGGGAAAGCTGAAAATTCTTCCTTCTCCTCTTAGATTGCCCTTGCATTGACGACCTTGTCGCGACCCATTTTTAAACCTTCCGCGACCCATGTTTGGGTCGCGACCCATACTTTAAGAACCACTGCTCTAGGTTGAGCAAGCACATGATGGCCAGATTTAACCCCCTTCCTGATGTGAACTTTTCATATTGCCTCCCGTAGTGTGTGTGTAACAGGTTGGGGTTTGGTCATAATTTTATTCAGACTTTCCTTATTTTAGTTCTATTATGAGTTAGGGGACTTTCTGTGTTAGCCAAATGAATTTATCCTCTGCCCATAGGTTTCAGTCCCTTTACACAACTTGATGTAAAGTAGGCGAACAAAATTAGTTACCTTCATATTGGTACACACACTTCTGGAGCGCCCCAAATTGTTCCTAGTTAATCTAGTACATGCATATGTGTATACAAGGAACCGAAAATGCCCTACTAAAATGGCCTTTATAAGCCTGAACCATCGCCACAGATGCTCCTATCATTTTATACATTAATATATATATATATATATATTTATCACAGTTGAAGCCATGCATAATCATCCTCTACAGTCAACACTTCCAAGGGTGAGCGGTGGTGCGATAGTGAGTCCTTACACTTAACAAATTTAATTGAACATTTTTCAATGTTTGTTGACAATCTAACTCAGGGTTTCTCAACTGGCGTTCATCAGATTGGGCCGTTCTGACAATATATTCGGAAATATTATATCAAATTTTTGATTATTTTGAATTTGGTGCTCCCGTGGTATTCATACCAAGATGGCGGACAGCCTGAACATAGTATGGGTACCAGGTTAGGGTTAGCAGGTTGTGCGCCATCTTGGCACGAATACTACGGGAGCGCCCTGAAATTTTGATTCCTTTGCGCTTTTGAATTGCATACTCTGCTGCTATGTATTTAGGACATTTCTGTTTGTAAAACACAGGTTGGCGAAATTTGCTTTGACATTTTTTGACCTCGAAAGGAAATTTTGGTTTGAGAACCACCTATCAAGGATAGGATAGATTTTAATATCCGGGAAAACAAAAACTTTAAGCCTAACTAACCTGTGAAATTATTCTTTGTTCAATAACATGCGGAGAAACTTGGACTGATATCCAACCGATCACTTCTGATTCTGAGTGTCGCCAGATTTGTCTTGAACGAATTGAAATTACTCCTTCAATATTTTGGACCTACAAGACAAGAATAATAAAAGGAAAAAAGGATGAATAAAGAGGGAAATATTTTCGAACAAATCTATAAATCGTCAGTCATTGGTATAGGGATAGAGGTGTTCATATACCAGAAGATTATTCAAATTGATTAAAAATTATTACTAATTTTACAAATAATCTGGAATAGGTTTTAATAAAGATTGAAATATAGATCAATAATTTAGATATTTATCCCAGGGCAGAGGAAAGTCAATAAGACAACTTAACCATATGGTGGACCATGACCACTCGTATGATTATAAATTCATGTCGGGTAGGGAATTAGTTATTTGTGAAAGTTAACGTTTTGAGCAATAGAAGTCTAACAGAGTGACTGCAAAAGCCTTCAATTTTTTTAAAATTCCAACTTAAAATACAAACTGTGTTATTATACTCAACGAATATGACGAAAGAGTATTGAGGCCAAGCCAAGACACGACAATAACTACAGAAACATTCTGTCAGCAATTATTTTTCTATATTTCACCTTCATCAATGCTCTTTGGATATCTTTTTCCAATTCTTGAGGAATTCTCAGAGCTAGAACTCTAGCTGAATCCCGAAGTAAAGGCCAAACAGTCACAAGTATTAAGCAACCAATCAGAAGCGTGCATATGGGGTCAGAGATCAGTAATCCAAATTGACCAATCAGAAATGAGGATATGATTACGCCTACACTTCCCAAAAGATCAGCAAGAATATGGAGATAAATTCCTAAAAAATAAAAAACATGTTTATTCTCAAGATTGGTGCTACGATTGTAACAGATTGCTGCTAAATAACTTTCAAAAGCATTGAAATATTTTCTGGGACTTGGGAGTCTTTCTGCACACTTGGTGCACACAAGTAATTTTTTTAACTAAAGTTAAGATTTTTGACAAACATAATTAAACTATCAAACGTTCCAATATTATTGGTAGCCACTCGGCGATGCAGGGTGTCAAAAGTTTATTTGCCAATCGCCAAACACCCATATGGAATGCTAAAATCAGAAATGAAATTCGCTAAACATCGTGAAAATTTGAGAGATTTTTTCCATGCTAAATCAGAGGTTCTTGCTAGGTTTTTCTTCTCACGTTTTATCTAAGAATTGGTATGTATGTGACTGCGTGTCAACGCATACAAGAATCAGGTTTACAAGTTCTGTTATTGCATTGTGAGAAATACAGTTATGTGTTTGTCATTCACCCATACTTTTTGTGGGGTCAAGTGAATTGAACCCCGCGGACTACCAGTTAGGGTGACATGAGACGATAGTTTGCCATATGATTAGGACGTCTCTTCAAACTTCCTCTCCTCCCACTAATTCACCTTTTATGTTAGAATTCCCACTTCCATGATCATGATGGTGATGCTTATCTCCATGACTACAGTGTTCAGAATGTGAATGTCCGTGTGAATGGTTATGTGAAAATATCGTCACGCCAACAAGATTCACAAGGAACCCGCCAATCGACACAATCTGTAAAAAGAAAGGGTTTGTTGTAAAATTAGGATACAAAATGCGGATGCCTAGTAAAGTGGTGCCCAACTTTTTTCAATAAATTCATCCTTTTTCCTTATTTTGAAAGTATTCATTCATCCCTTACTTTGCATAAAAATTCATGCAATCTCTGATATGCACAGGTCGCATATTACTGGATGATAGACCAAACGAAAAGTACTATTCTTTCCCCACTCCCAGAGCAAAACACTAAAATTCTTCCCCAGTTCAGAAACTGAGAATGCTGGACTATTGCTTAAAGCGTTAAGAGTTAACTGTGTTGACATTGCAGGTTCAAAACCAATGGCCAACAACTCACCCATGGTGTGAAAAAATTGTGAGTGATGACAAATCGGAAAAATTCCAGACCTTTGTAAAAAAATAGATCCTCCTATATAATTGGTAGAGTCTCTTTGCATATCAGTGGCTTTAGGCTAGGTAGTTTATTTTATCATAAACCGAAAGTACACAATGGACAAAGTCACAAATATAAAAAAAGAAAGATAAGAAAATGCATTTTAGTGTGGAGACGCGATAAACCAATGAAGGTTATCGAGCGGCGTCACCTATGGGGGAGTTGGTCACACTGAGAAAGAAGTCAAACGTAAAATACTAACAAAAGCGGGACTTTGAGAGACCTTTAAGGGGGTGCTACCGTAGTATCCGTACCAAGATGGCGTACAACCTAAACATAGTATGTGTACCAGGTTAGGGATAGCAGGTTGTGCGCCATCTTGGTACGAATACTACAGGAGCACCTTTTGGGGAACCTTAAATCTACATGAAATGAGTAATGTTCATAAATACAAAGAACTCACCAATAATCTGTCAGTGTTGATTTTTGGAGGATTGACTAATCTTTGGAACGCTTCAGCAAGAAGAAACAATGCAATGACCAATAAAAATAAACCATTCACAAAACCCGCTAATACTTCAACTCTGCCATATCTAGAAGAACAAAAAACAATTTTATTTTCATTCTACTATATCAGTGAAAGATCTAGCTTTTAGGTTTTATTCTTTTTCCCCAGGAAAAGGAAAGGTGAAAATATTGCGTAATCAGTTGGCGTACCACGGTTTCATGCCCGGATACCAGTCCTATTGGGTATGGCCATGGGGTTAGTTAATACGATATGTTTTCAGATGCATAGGCCTGATGTTGGAAGCCTAATGGTAGGGGTCTCGCACACGCATGGAGATTCAGACTCAGATAATTTATTTTCGTCGTGCAAGAAACATTGTGAACATAAACATAGTAAATCAAGGCAAAAGAAAAACAACAAAAGGCACACAATGTTCAAACCAGGGTTGTCCAAAACGAATCGAATACGGTATTCGAAATTATTCGAATATCAAAGTATTCGAATACCTTTTCGGCTGATTTTCGAATAATTCCGAATAGTAGTCACTTTTCGTCAATTTTTACGGAATCTTCAAACGACTTTTTACGCTCACGTATTGTAATGACGATGAAATAGAATCGGCACTTTCATTGTTTATATTCAGCGCGAATGTCCGTCGCATAGTGTTGCAGCACGTTTGCGTGGGTGGACATTGCCGACATTCGTCTTTTAATTTATAAAATCATTTCCATTAGTCGAAAAATTTCCCTGCTAATAAGTCGCTTCTCTAGACCCAATTTTTTTTTTTTTTGGGGGGGGGGGGGGGCGCCTTATTGAGAAAGTATGTTTATTTTATTTTTATGTGGTCTGCTTATTTTTCGCATGAATCTTCTCAAGCATGATTTGTGTTAACCTTATATTTATTTTTTATGGGTCTGCCAATCATGATATTTAATCGTAGGCCGATTATCGTTACTTGAAAGAGAAAACACGGCCACCGAGATAAAGTAAGTGATTTATGACCCTTTCGTTTTGCCGATTAAGCAGAAAACGACAGGGACAAGAAACACAGCTGTGAAATAACCCGTGGATGTACAGCGTGGTACTTATCACATTACAAAATTATTACAACATTCGGGTTGATAGGTTGTCCAAAATGATTGCCGCTTCATAGTTTAAATTTTCCGCTTTATTTTTAAGAATAGTCAATTCCGTGAGTATGGTTCTACTAAACGAACATGATCCGGTTCTAAACGTATGAAATTATCAGCGCATATTAGCATAACTGAACAACAGGGAACAATTTTTCTACCAGTCCTTTTGGAGGCCTGTATGAAAAGCCGCTTTCTGGCAAATAATTTTGATAACGATGGTTGAAAGTATCGATAATGAAAGTATTAATACCAAATACCACGGGTATTTGTGGTCCATGAAATGTGAGGTAACTTGCCCAATTATAATTAATTTCGGATTCGTATTTACAAAATAATAAAACTATTATAACTCTCAAATACAACGGCGATTTGTGGACTTAAATGTGTGGTAAACTGCCCGATTTACCAACATTTGAGTTATGTTGATAGAATTAAATTAACACGACAAGGCATTTTAAATAGTGGTATCGGTCATGGATTCGAATATTTTGCGCAGCACTAAATCATCCCAGTAAGAGGTCCACACTTTTAAATACAAACCAATGGCAACCATTATAAAAATTATTTTCCAAAAAGCGGGATAAAGTATAAATTATTTTTCCGACTTGTGACAATTTTTTCGTGAGTACGAAAATAAGAATCAAAAATTATTTATATTCGGGCACAATATCACGGCATTCTGTGGACATAAATTGTGTGGCAAACTCGCCATTAATATTAATTTTTGATTCCCATTTTCGTATTTACAAAATACAACGGCGATCTGTGGACTTTGAATGTGTGGTAAACTACCCGATTATAAATAGTTTTTCATCCCTATTTTCGTATTTAGAAAATAATAAAAGTATTATTACCCAAACATACAACGGCGATCTGCGGACTTAAAAGATGTGGTAAAGTTCCCGAATATAATTAATTTTTGATTGGTATTTTTGTACTCACGAAAAAATTGTCACAAGTCTGAAAAATAACTCATACTTTATCCCGCTTTTTGGCAAATAATTTGGATAATAGTTGGTATTTAAAAGTATGGGTGTTCTACTGTGCAATTATTCAAATCCATCACCGATATCACTATTTAAATTGTCTTGCCGTATTAATTTAATTCTGTTAATTGACATAACTCATGCTATATAAAATATATATCGCAATAATCTGCAAACATGAAATGCCTGGTAATATAGCCAGGTTGTAGATAGCAGATATTCCATTGTTTGTTGCATGGAAATTCCTTCATACACTTACCGTAGATAAGCTTCTATTACTGGATTTTATTTTCGAGATATTCGAAATTTCATATTCGAAAATAATAATTTCGAATGTATTCGAAATAGTGAACTATTCGGTATTGGCCATCCCTGGTTCAAACTGCAATTAACGAGGAGCCGCAAAAGACTATCAAATCATCGTGTCAGCGATGCTGAATGACGTCGAAAAAACGTCAAATGATTAAGGTAGATCTAAATATGTTCAGGGGAAAATTTGAAAAACGTAGATGGAATCGAGAGAGTAGGGAGGGATGGGAGAGATTCTATCATCGAAATGGATCATAGAACAGAGTCCATAATAATCTTGACCAGATGAAACCTTTCCCAAGCTCGAGACACACCAACTCATGACTCAAAAACTTCATTCATTTTTCCAGGACTTACCCATATGAGAAAACCCTTGTAGGCTGCCATTGAACCATTACCGAAGCAACTAGACCCAGCACCAGAGCCGTGCAATCAAACAACATATGAAAACTGTCTGATATCAGACCAAGGCTGTTGCTCCAGACTCCATAAAACAATTCAACAAATGCAAAACCCTGGAAATAGTAAATATGTTGTTTTTATAGGTTTGTCTTTCATAAGTACATTCCTAATTTGCCATAAATTTGAATCTGAATACTGGGAGGTCTGGTGAGCAGATTCTGTACAGAACACCAACTTGAGTGTCTTCGTATAAATGAGTGCTTCCCAGCCTTTTTCAGTTCACGACTCACTTTTATTGCCATTCTTTCTGTGCGACACACAGTGAGATGTTCAATACATGAGAAAACAAACAAAGTATCCCCAAGCAATTTACTTCATAATTGTTACGTAATGATAATGCCACAATTTCCAGATCCAATTGAAAATTGTAAATCTAACATTTTAAAATACTTCACGACCCAACTTGAATAGCTTCGTGGGACGCGATTCACTTGTTGAGAAGCACTGGTATAAATCCAATGTCAACAAGTTGGAGCATGAACATTTAATTACCTAAAGCCTAACTGTTAGAAAATACGACCAAATATTCCATCCAAACAGTCAATAACTAGGGCTGGGAATTTCAGGGAAAACACTTTAACCGTTAACCGGTTAACCGCAGTGTGGCCTTTCACGCAATAATTCGTAATTTAAGCTTCTTACGTCACAACTGATTAACCGGTTAACCATTCCAGCCCAATCAATAACACGAAGCATGTTTAAAACAGGATAGGCAAAATGGCATAACCTAATACTAAATAGACACAGTTGTGATAAATCAGTGGTTTCCAACCTTTTTTCCTCATTACCCACTTCCGATTTAATCAGAGTCTTCATTCCCTACATTTCTAGAAGAGTGTTCATTTCCAACCAGCAACCCCTAAATTTCCCACTAGTGAGGTATTTTCACACCGGTTGGGAACCACTATGTTACTATGTTACCACTATGGCGCGGCGGTGTGGCTCAACAGGCTAAGCGTTAGGAATACACTCGCCACCGCACCTCTAATTACTCTACGTGGGTTCGCAGGTTCGAATCTCATGCAGGGATGGTTATGTGCGAGAGGATTGCTGGACTCCTCGCCGTCGTTGGGTGGTTCACGTAACCGCTGGTCGGTTACGGCTTCCTCCACCACCAAGTCCATGCTTCCGAAAACAAAACAATATAACTAATCCCATACCCGACTCGGAATGGTAACCGGACGAGAGGCCGTGGTTCGCCATATGGATAAGCCGTCTTATCGGCTTTCCTCTCCCCCGGGATAAATATGTAAATCCTATCCTATCCCTACATGAAGCACTCACTCGTAGAATAAGTGTATATAAAGTGGAGGAGGTCCCCTAGGATGTTATACACAGTATGACATTGAATTATTTAATGTGATTGTAAGATGTAAATTTATACTACCTCATTTTATGCTTAGAAGTCGTAAATTTATAAGAATTTACCAAATTCATGCAAAGAAAGTAGAAGATATGTCTTGAATTCCTCTTCTGCAAAACCTTTGTTAAAAATTTACGAGCAGTAACAGCGAAAGAAAGTTGTGTTGCACGTTGCAGAGCATCACCTAAAATAGAGGCGGTGAATAAGGAAAGAATTTACGTATTTATCCAGGAAAAGCGAGAAAAAAACGATAAGATGACTTGACATAAAGCAAACCAAGACATCTCGTCAATTTCATCAGTCCATGCAAGGTATTGGAATAGTTAGCAAAGTATTTGTTTTCAGATGCATGGACTTGATGGTGGAGGTAGCCGTAACTGAACTGAGGTTATGTGAACCACTGAGCGACAGTGTGGAGTCCAGCTAGTCTCTCCCTTAAGATTCGAACATATGTACATACTTATCATACATGGATATTCAAATCCAGTGAGTGATAAATATGCATGAGACTGAGGTAGTTACGAATTTTCTTACGAGAGAGCAATCACTGTCTTTCCAATAAACGATAGCTACTGTGTTCAAATAGCCGGATTAAGGCAAGCAAGATAAATTCACAAGATTTTCGAGTTAATTATTGTGCATTTAATATTGTGTCCCGATAGCCGAGCAATATTCCTTTAAATATTGTTTAAAAACAAAGAACACATTGCATTTATTTGAAAGGGAATTATGTCAAAATGGAAGTCAGTGGGAAACAGTTAGGATAAGAATAGCCATAATCACGGCCTGGCGGTGTTTGCATTGTTCAGTCACAAACTCCATGCCCGCCACCTCACCAAGGATTAATAGTATTTCTATTATTTTGTTCACAAACCTGCAAAGTTATACAAAGGTTGTCCTTGTGCTGAATATCCAACAAAACTCCCCTTTTGGCTTTTTGATGCGGGTCTTGTTAGGATTATAGTTGCTGAGAAAGTAAATGAAAGATTTAACAGTATTGCTCAATGTAAAGTAATACAAGACTTGTCGATTCACTGGGAGTATATAACATAGAATAAATAAACATTTCATAATACATTTGGTACCCTTGGCAAACCTTGCATATGGGGATTCTGTAATAAGTAGTGTAGAATAAACAAATACATTTAAATTAGGGTGCTCCCGAAATATGCGAACCAAGATGGCAGACATCTGAACGTAACTTGGTTAACAGGTTAGGGTTAGGCGATAATTTTTTTCCAATTTTCCTTATTTTAGTCCTATTATCAGTTCGAAGACTAGCCAAGAGCCTCCCGTAGTATTTATACCTAAAATTATGGCCTAACCCTAACCTAGTACACATATTACATTCCGATGTCCGCCATCTTGGTTCGCATACTTCGGGAGCCCCTAACTTAGTTTATAATCAATTTAGTAAATTAATAATCCGCCATTCCACAACCACTTGATTAAGGGGTGTAATGAATTGCACAGGCATTGCTTAACTGGAAAAAATTTAGATCATTTTAAAATCAAGCTGGCCTCTGCATATCAATGGCTGCTCCTTTGAATCTTCGTGCAGAGCATAGGTTAGGCACACATGGAAATCTTATAAACATTTTTATTTGAATTCCTCACTCACCCCATATAAATAATAATGCGCTGATCACGACCCAGATGACATGACATGCTCGCTTGTCCGTGTTTCGGATCCTAGTTGAGAAATAGCTCTAGCCGCTGGGTGGTGCCAGTGATACGCAAGAAGTAGCGCTGATAAAGTGATCGTCATGTATCCAATACGATAGGATTTCCAACTGTCTTGTTTAGCAGCTTGAAAAAATTGAAAAGTTAAGTATAAATATATGAAGAGTAAATATCAACGAAGCAAAATAGGTCAGAGGCAGTGTTGGGTTTCAGGAGGTCCACACAAATGTCCTAGCACGTTTAATTACTGTTTTATAAGTCGCACCAGGGGTGTGCAACCTTTAATATAGGAAGGCCAGATACAAATACTTGCATATACTTTCAACATAGGCTTTCTAGTAGTTGCAGTCACAAAAATTTTGGTTATTGATCTTGATGACATGCGTTGATCGCTTCGCACAAGCTAGCTGTTAGGGCATTGTAACGTCATAGGCCTAGATAATAAATTGGACTCAGCTATTGGCTTCGCAACGCAAAAGGATTGAAATTACTTGCACGTACCAGATTGAACATAATTTCACACTTCACACTTCATTCAAAATTGGCACTTCTTCCTGGGTCACACAATTTATCCTTGCAGACCACTATTGGCCATTGAGTCGCAAGTTACACTACCACAGCAAATAGGTAAAGTGCATCACCGCTGACACCTCGTGGTATATTTGGTGTTTTGAAAGTTATGTATTAGATTAACGCGAAGAGTGCCATGTTAATATAGCTTTGAAAATGACTACACAAATAGAAACCCAGCCCAAATGGGATAGGAGTTCAGTTTTAAAAAAATCACAGACGTGTAAGACATATGCTTTTTTAGTCCCAAAAAACCATTTCAGCCGATAAGTAAGAACATGTAGCATATAAGAACATGTTGTTGAACGTTGTTATGTAGTTTAATGTTGTAAATATACAAGAAGAACAAACGATGAAGACATGACGAAACGACACTGATACGACTTACAAATACAACCCTTATAATACATCCCCCTAAATATCCAATTGAAACCTTATTTATACGTATGTGCGTATGGTGATATCGATTCCATTAGGGGTATCGATTCGGGTTTGGAATACTAATTACCATATGTCATCGATCCAATTATATTTTTGGTTGTCATCTGTTTGTCTAATTACAACGGGCCCTATATCGATCCAATTCATGAATTTGGAGAAATTCTAAATTAGCAATTTCCAGTTTTTTTAATGATTTTACCTGAAATAACGAATTTATCCCTAAACTTTAATTATTGGTCTTAACAAGTATACTTGAGTTATAATTATAAAATTAAGGTGTATTTAGTTGGAACTTATACACTATTTCATGGGTTCTAATAAAATTAAAGAAAGTAAATTTAACAAAATATCATCAAATGAAAGTTTCCACTACCAACCTGTAACGTACGACTCCACATAGAAATTGAATAAAAATACAAACAGAACAACAAGCAAAAAAGGTAAAGTATAAGACATCAGACTTCCACCACTTGACCTGTAGAAAACAAAAGCAACATTATGGATTTAAAAACCAAAATGAATGAATCACCGAACTTGACTAATTCAAATTCAAGTCAACTTAAAAAAATCAAGGGCTTTTAATCCAAAAAGGGTGGACATGGAAAACCTGCTTCATAAAAATGATGAAAAAGTATATTTTTGGTTTTTAAATCATGTGAGGTTTGATTGAAATACTTTGGTGAACTTCATCAAACTAGAATTAAATATCACCCCTTTTTTTACAATTTTTCAATATAATTTGTTTAAACTCATACATAAAAATCTATTTATTTAAAATGTATTTCAAATAGCAAATTTTTTATTCATTCCATCTTTGCAAACTTACCCAGATAAATACAGAATCATTGCCCAAGGTGTCAGCAGAATTGTTGAAACTAAAGTTGAAAGAGCGTGCAATCTTTTGGGTCCACCAACATCGTTAGATAATCTTTTACCCATCACACTATGGGCAACCTGAAGAATAAATGAAACAAAAGTATGGAAAGCTTCGCAGTATTGCATTGTAGGATGGTATCCCCATCCCAGAGAAGAAGAAAGAGGTGACATGGCCCAACCACGGCCTCTTGTCCGCTTACCAGTCTATGTTGGATATGGAATTAGTTAGGTCAGTTATTTGTTTCAGATGGTATGTTATTGATTGTAGAGGAAGCCGCAACGACCAGCGGTTATGCATTAACCACCCTATAGCAGAGAGAAGTCCAGCAATCCTCTCCACATAATTATCCCCACATTGGATTCGCCCCAGCGATCCTACACAGTTTAATCAGAAGTTTCCAAAAAGTCTTCAAATAAACATTGGCATTGATTGGCAGTAGATATTATGTGCTAATAATCACACCTTCTGTCAAATATGGTAGCTCAATATGCCTTCAACATCGGTTTCAATTGGGAAAATACAACCATCCCATTACCTAATTTCTATTCATACATTAAAGTTTTTAACTTGTTTTAGTATGACTATGAATCGAACGAACATGATTAAAATTAGTAGAGATCATTATATTATCTTATAACGAATTAGGAACCCATTACCTTTAATAATGAAGCAATTATCAGCAAAATTATTCCTCCTTTATGGTCAGCTACTCCAAGTTTAGATATCAACCAATATATTGTATGCGAGACGGTGCCTGCATGCTGACCTTCAGCTGAGAAATTAAACAGAGAAATGCATTTAATGAGAATGAAGACAGGATTTTTAGGTTTATATCAGATATATATTGAATCATTATTTGTAAAAATTCTTTCTTTAAGATGGTGGTTCTCAAACGGAGGGGCGTGTCACACAAGACAGTTTTTTGAGGGGGCGTGAAGCTAAATAAAAAGGTTTGATCTTGCCCGCTTTGTTACTTATCAACTTTATTCGGTAAGTATGTTGATAGGTATTTGTCTGTCTGTTAGATGCACGCGATATCTCACGAAAGCGAGGTTAAATCTGCTCCAAATTTTGCATGTGCATTCATCATATCTCGTACCAGAAGCCTATTGATTTTGTGCGAATTATGTCGTATAATTAGCGAGTCATAAATTTGCAGCTTTTAGCATGTCGGATGGTTCTCCTATCTGTAATGCTTTTCAACGGCGTATCTACGTAAAATGGCGGCCATGGCAAAGTTTAGAAATTAGAAATGTAGCAAAAATAGTTGGGTACTACACTACTACTGCACTAGCATATTGCTTCAGAATAAGCCTATAATTTATAGCGCATGTCTGTTGGTAAATCTTCTATCCTAATACTTTCATATACAGGGTGTCCAAAAAATTTTGCTCAATTTTATTGTAATAATAATTAAAATTTCTTTTTTTCTTTGTTTCTATACAGTTCTTATTGTGCATGTTGTTGACATTTTTCCGACAATAAAAATTTATTTAAACTTAAATTGTTATTATTATAAAAACGGGCAAAATTTTTGGACACCCTTTATAATAGTTTTCCCAGATCAAATTTGCACAAAACATGGCCAAACAATGAATTAAACATTCCCGAATACTTACGATGGTCTGAAATCTTTGTCATCAAATCATCATTGTCAAATAGTAAAAGGCAAGAAGCAGAAATAAGAAAAAGGATGGCACCTCTCGTCTAAAATAAAAAGGAGATTAATTAGGATTAGGAATTTTCAAACATCCACTCCAGACAAAACTCTATTTACACCATTACTGACATATAACATATTTATCATGTGCAAAAATGAATCCCTGTTGAACATTAGCTGATTTTCCGACTAGAATATTTCAAGAAGCAAAAACCAGAATGATATCCTGCTACTTTTATCAAGCTTTACGGATAAGCGTAATACATAATCCTGCAAATAAAGTAGTTTGGTCTAAAACAGTGTTTCCCAACCCTTTTTTTCAAATTTTTAAAAGAAAGAATTTTGTTACTCAAGGGTATACTCGCATACTAAATGACAGGTAGTGCTTTTCTAGCCACAAAATTAAATGATTAACATAAAACAGTCATTTTTGCATAGCATTTATTTCAGCTGCTCTTATTTGCCATCAGTGAAAATTTGAAATCACGGTGTGGGTTTATTTAAGTAAAATATCTGCTGCCCAAGTTCCACGCTGCGATACTTGTCACATTACTACAATGCAACACTAAATACCAAATATGAAATAAAATAAACTTTCTTTAAAACAAAATAAAACTAATAGCTTTCAAGCTTTTGTTGCAAAACGAGCCACCTGGGAACATTGTCTGGTGACCCAATTTTGGGTCGCGCCTCATAGGTGGGGAACACCAATCTAAGTAAAATTACACCAGAATCAGACTCCAACTCTTAAGACATTTGAAACACAATTCCAGTTTAGATTCCTGGTTGATGAAACTTTGTCTCTGACTGACTTGAACTGACCACAAGAACTTATACAATATACAAGCTATCCTTAATGAAGGTCTTTGAAGGATCTTGTTCATAGCAAAAAGCAAGGATATGCGTCGTTTATGAAAAATAAGGTCCCAGTTCCAGATTCAATTAATCTGTTTAGAGTCTGCAGTGTGCTATCGCTCTGTAATTTTGCTTACCGGTACTTATATTCTGACACAAAAGCCTTTTGTCCCTGGAATTATTGAGAGAGATTAATTAAAGTCTCTGCGATTTTCTAATTCAATTATATGTTTGTTTTGTGTCTTTATTGCTTTCCAAGACTGTAAAAAAGGAAGCATAAAATAAAGACACAGCAAGTTTATTTTCCCCATCCAGTACAAAGCCTTTTGACCCTGGAATTATTGAGGGGTAAACTATTCCAACACAAAAGGCCATTGCTTATTATATACTCGCAGCCTCTTCAAGTAATAAATTTTAATCAATTTTGTTGAATAACCAGCTCAAGAGTCGATAGAAAAAATCCTACCTTGGAATGATTTCCAGATGGTGAGAAGATTCCACTCAACATTGCAAGAATAACTGCTTCACTGTGCTCAAATATTAAGATGGTTCTGGAAGAGAAATATAACATCATTAAACTTTGGGATTTGGTTCAATGGTCTAGGCCAGGGTGGTCCGAGGTTGTCGGCTCTGCGGGCCACAAAATTATTTTTGCATTGTTCGCGGGCCACAATAGTACCAAGTATAGGTAAACAGTGCAATACAAAACAAACGCTTTTATTGTGCAAACACATAGTTATCAGACCTAGCTATTCCAGGCTAATAGAATCTGCATTCTATTTTTAGTTTTCTATGATGCCTATATTGTTTGCATATATTTCCGACCAAAAGATAGAAAGCCAGATAATAATTTAGACTGCCAAGCAGTGTTCCCTCTAAGGTGTGCGCGTGTGCGCGCGCACACAGCTTTCAGAGGCTGCGCACACGCATAGATTTACTGCGCACAGACAGATTTCGATGTAATGTAACAATTTTTTCGGTTGGCAGGTTGAGAAAGTTTGTTGTTGGCCCACCCATTACCCGGTTAGAATGCCAAAATCTCTTCATTGGTTTTTGCACAAATATTAGCCATTTCCAAAAAAGTGCGCACACATCAAAATTTCTGCGCACACATACTACAAGAAATTAGAGGGAACATTGCTGCCAAGCACCTCATTCAACTTCGCTAGTTGCCTCAGCTAGCCATGACACTAGTCAATTTAGTGACATTTGTGATGTAATAATATGTCAAAAGATTTTTCTGATTCATTTTATTACAAAACAACACGAAATGCGATTTTTTGATTACTCTCGGAATGTGACGCTGGCCATAGATAATGAAGCGACGGGCCACATGTGGCCCGCGGGCCTAAGTTTGGACCACCCTGGTCTAGGCACTGTGAATCAGGAATGATAATTGTCAGTCTTTGAAACATAGATTGTAGGGCTACATATAGGTCTGTAGAGGGAGTCTGAAGTCTAGCATTTGTTTACTACGCTTGACCCAAATAAATTCTTTTTGAGCTTTGGTTGAAAATTTCGACCATTGAAATTCCAGACTTCCAATGGTGATAATCAAGAGTCATAATTTTCAACCAAAAAGAGTTTATTTGGGTCAAGCATAGTAAACAAATACTCATAAAAGGCTTGCACATCTTTGTCATGAACATTTGGTTCTCGTGTAGTTAATTAAAATTCAAAAATTTTGTCACTTTGAAGCTTTTAAAAATTTAATATACAAAGTCAATATATTCACTTAACATTTTCAGAGAATTTTTGTTCAGATGAATAAAAAAATATAGTATCACTCACCTCAGAGGTCCACATAATGTCAATCCAAACAACCATAGAATATCGTTGACAACTCCAAGCAGAGAATATTTTGCAATGCTCGCCCACTGAAAAGTAAAATAACATTATGCCAGCACAGCAAAACTGGAGTAGATGATTTCACATTTTAAAGTTTCAAGAATATCGCTAGCTTGGATCTAACAACCAAACCTAGAAATAGACCTAAGGCACCATGGATTCACTGGCCCAAAAGCATTTGCAGAGTATGGGTAGTTTGTCCTAAAGAAAACTAATCGATAGCATATAAATTTACTGTGGCGAAACACAAATGCCAGCAAATATCGATTCATGCAAACTCGAAACACAATAAACCTATTCTGTAAGGAATTGAACTACAAATGCTCACCTGTCTCTTGACAACTCTTTTACCATGAGATATTGGTTTGTGTAGAAGAGTTAGGACAACAGAAGACCTAAAATAAAGTATAGAATAGTTTGTTTCATTGAGCCTTGCATAATTGTGTATATTAGGAAAAGTATTTCACCCATCTAACCTAAGGTGCAACAAACTAGGTAAACAATGACAAGTTGAATGCATTCCTAAAAACTAGCATCTTGCATATCAGGGACTTTGGCCTGATCGATCAGAATAATATGTTTCACTGAGCATTGCATAAATGTGAATATTAGGAAGAAAAGTATTTAATAAAGACTAAACTTTTTATTGTAAAAGCAGCCAGTGTTGGTTACAAGTTTCTAAACACTGAGAAAATTGAGTCACAGGTCACATCAATTGTTGTATCATTGAGCTAAGTCTTACTGTCAAGTATTTGTGTTGTTTAATTTACACGATTCGAGTCTGTGATAAATGGTGACTCGAACCAAACTCGATACCTCTGCCTACTTCTGTACTATATTGATACAAAGGGGAGTAAGCAGGTGGGATTGGGTTTCCCCCTCCTTTTTCAAATAGGAAAAAAAAACAGACCTTCGAGACTTTTGAAAACTAACGTCCGGTCGTACCTGCTAGCTGATTCAATCTAACCCCTCCCTTCAAAATGCCTGGCTATGCATCAGTTGATACAATCTTTGCATGCGATACCCGATTAGGCTGGAAACCGGATGAAAGGTTGTTGTTCGCCATATGATTAAAAGCCATCTTATCGGCTTTCCACTAGCACAGGATAAATATGTAAATCCTATCCCTATAAAAATGTGGTTGGTATTAACTTTACTCACCAAGCTTTAACAAAGAATAAAAAATACACAAGGTGGACGACTTTCAATAAATCATAACATTCAAAAAGTCCAATGCAACGAATCATCTTCACAACCATCAAAAGGAGTCCATGCTTCCCAAGACTGTAAAAAAAATGCACAACAAGTTTATTTTTAGACACACAGTTTTGAAGAAGGGGAGCCTCTGGAAAGCAAAGTTAGTTATCAAGCGCAACAGCAATGAAATAGTTAAAGTAATATCTGTGATAGGCCAGGTAACTCTCGCACCTTCATGGCACAGATTGCAAAATTGAAGTCTTTGCGATTTTCTAATTCAATTATATGTTTGTTTTGTGTCTTTATTGCTTTCCAAGACTGTAAAAAAGGAAGCATAAAATACAGACATAGCAAGTTTATTTTCCCCAGCCAGTACAATAAAAACAATGGCATATAAAACAATGAGAAAAGAACACAAGATTTTACTGGGGATGGAAAGCATCTGGAAACCAAAGCTGGTTGTTGAATGCAACAACGATGTAATAGTTGTAATGTTGAAACGCCAATATTCCCATCCCCATAATATTCCCATCCTTCAAGTTTTGAATAATGGTAGCTAAATATTAGCAGTATTGGGCGTGGACTTTTGGTGGTTTTTGCAAGAATCTTGGTGTTTTTTGACAGGTTTCTCATGGTTTTTGCACAGTTTTTCAAATAATAGCTCTTTACATACTGCTATATATAGCAGAGCTCCGCAACCTTTTATACACTTTTACACACTTATAAATCTTGCCAAATTCGACGGCACACCACAACAAACGGAAAAAAAAAGTGTAACTTTGTTATATGTCCATATTTCAATGAGAGATTTGTGGTTGTTTTAATGAGCACAATACGTGAAAGAGCAACTCGAAGTTCGCCGTCAACATCTTTTATACAGGATTGTTTATCGTTTTTGATCAGTATTAAAGAGGAAAAGCTTTGTTCGCACACATAAGTTGTGCATGACCGGAGCAATATTTCAATAGCTGCATTTGAATGTGCTTATATTTTTCTTTTATTGAAATCCTAAATACATCGAGTGGAATTTCGCTGAATTTCAGTTTTAGCGTTCTGTCATTTCTTACTTCAAACAAATTTTCTCGAATACGCAGGGGTAATTCTTTCGTTAAGCTCAAGTTTTATTTATATTCTATTACTACACATGCTATGTTTTAGCCTTGACAGTAGGCTTTGCAATATATCTGCTTGATATATAGGCCTATTCCTTGTTACGTCACAAATGCACAGTGGGGAAGTCAGGAATTTGAATTGGTGTCGCTCAAGCTAACGTAAAAGCAGGTTAACTTTACGTTAGTAGAGTAGTAGACTCTAACGTAAAATTAACAAAGGATAAAAAGAAATTTGTAAATAGAATGGAAAAGTTGCAATTCTTGTGCGGCACACCTGGCATCGTCTCGCGGCACACCGATGCGGCGCGGCACACCGGTTGCGGAGCACTGATATATAGGATCTCATTCAGAGTGAAAGGCGTGGTAATAAGCATTGTATAGAAGAATTAATAGTTTTATAACTCACCTTTCCCTTGCTGCAGCAGTAATTCTGCCGAGATCATCATTCTCATTCATGCTGACTCATACGTAAATAATATTTAATACTTTAATGAATAGAATACTGAACAAAATAGGTGGTATTTCAATGAGTGTGAAAAAAAATTACAAAAAATTTGAATAGACAAACACAAAGAAAAAATAAGTAGGTGCAACGGCTTATTGGTTATTGATGCTAGACTCATGTGAGCATAGCGAGTTTGAATTTTTGAAGCTAAAACTTTATGTACAGCACCTCAGTAACGGCGTAGAATTACCGTAATCAGTAGAATTTGATATTTCTGAAAAATATACCGCATATACTCGTGAATAGGTCACGCTTTTAAACAAAAAATGTATCAAATCAGAGGTGCAACTTATCCATTCGTCAATAAAAGATTATTATATTTTTGAGAAATCGAAACCGTTCACGATTTCAATTTTGTTTTAGGAAGTCAGTTCTCAATATATATTAACCAGGTTTGTTTAAGTATTTCAATTCATTTAATACATCTGTGAGGCCCAAAACAATATCTGGTATCGATAAATTCCCTTTGTTCAAGATTTAATGGACACCTTAGAAAGCATGAGGTTAAAGTTTAAACAGAATTCACAATGGAAAATTAATGAAACGTGATCACTCAGAATGATCTCATTTAAATGGTGAGAGTGGATGCTGCTTTATTATGCTTCGTTGCATTTTATTGTCAAATCGAACCAAAGGGACCTAAATACAAATTAAAAGTTTAATATTTTTATGCTAATTTGAAAGATTTACAATTAAAATTTTTGCTTTGAAATTAACTTTCAAATATTGTAAACAGTTTCGATTTTGTAGCCAAAATCACATTAAAATTTCTCCTCAATCAGAATTAACTTTTAGGTAAAAAATGAAAATTTTATGAAAAAAAAGCGATTCACATATCCCAATCCTAAGAAATAATTTTAAATTTGTGAACATTATGGGAAATAAATATAAAGAAAGTACAAAAAAAAGACTCCCAACACCACACCAAATGACATCAACGAAGTTGGAATAAAATTGCAAAATAATAATAGTATAGCGTCATAAAAAATTGATCAAAACGGACTCGGTCAACTTAGGCAGTGTGGAATTCATTCTAAGGTTGTAGACAGGCAAGACAAAATTATTTTTAAAATAATAGCTCCATAAATAGGAATGGCTGATTGCAGAGTTGAAAGTAGACACAAGTAAACTCGTAGAGAATATTGAGAAATATGGTAAACTTATTTCAAACTGAGCATTTCACAATAAGACATGGATGACTAAAACTGCGTAACATACATTTCTAATACATTATTATTGTTGTCAAATATAGAATAGGATTTACATATTCATCCCAGAAAGAAAGACGGGAAAACTACTTAATCATGTGGCCAAACACATAGCGAATCATATAGCGAACCACAGTCTCCCATCGGATACCAGTGCATGTGGAGTATGGGATTATTAGGCCAGGTACTTATTTTTTAAAACATGGACTTGTATACATCCTAAATCAGGAGTTGGAACATGGTCAAACGTGGAAGAGTTACGAAAAGTGTTTTGATTATCTATTTTTATGATTTTCAAATGAATGATTCTAAATTATGCCTAAATTCAATATTTTAAAATATAGAACATAAAATTAATTCTGCATTAGTCAGAATACCCCATTCATTTTATTTTTAGACATCCAGGAGATCCGAAAAATGATACGCTGTAATGACTTTCAAGATGACTTACTGTAAATGTTGATGACGTACAATAATGAAACCATGAAGCAGATACAAAAGAAGAACTTACGAGAGCTAGTAAATCAAATATAAATACTAAAAAATTGTCAACAAACAAAAGTAATTTGAAATGATATAAATTATTTTATATAAAGGGTTCGAGAACTACTAAGCAAATTGTTGTAATCATTAATCAATACAGCAAACATGTTCAAAGAATTCAATACGCACTTTGTCATCACTGGGGCAGAGCAGTAAAAAATGTGTACAAAGTCCAGAATTACAATAAGTATAAGATTCTTTTTTTCTGAAAACACCATCACCATGATTTTAATACAACAAAAGTCCAAAAATTTAACAGAAAAATGAATTATTTTGATTATTTGAAATCTTAGAATACATTTCACATACATGCATTTTAAGCAAATATTTTTAATTATTCAAATTCTAATCAAATTTCGTCAAAGATTATCTGGAATTCATAAAAGTAGCTTCAACAATAAACAACGTATTATTCAACCAATAATCATTTAAATGTGTCTAGAGCAGGGTGGTTCAAACCCAGGCCCGGGGGCCACATGTGGCCCGCCACTTCATTACCTGTGGCCCGCGTCGCATTCGGAGAAAAATCAAAAAATCGCATTTCGTGTTGTTCGTCATAAAATTAACCAAAAATTCTTTTGACATTGTTGCATCACTAATGTCACTGAATTGACTAGTATTATGGCTTGCTGAGGCAACTAGCGAAGTTAAAGTTCTTGGCACTATTGTGGCCCGCGAACAATGCAAAAGTAATTTTGTGGCCCGCGAAGCTGCCAATCTTGTACCACCCTGATCTAGAGTCTGGACTTATATTTCTAGGGCCCAAGTAATATTGATTTAAAATCCTCAACATAGATTATTCATTTTGCAGCCTACATAACACAAAATTGGGGATTCAAGTTCGATTCAAACTCCTTGCAGGAATCAATGGAGCATGGTAGCCAGAATAATGATGTCATAATGGATGGGAAGCAGATAATAATATTTAACAAAGGTTACCAAAGTAAACAAGATCCAAAAATGATATAAATATATTAGTACAATGTCATAAAGCTTCAATATCACCGTAGAAGTTTTTTGTTGATAATTTCCCATACCATGGCTCGCCGAAAGTAAGGCATATCTCGTTGGGAAAATGTTAAGTCTGATTTAGAAGTAATATACTCTGCAAATTTGCAAGCAAAGACTCCACAATCTGATCCATTCATTTGTTGCGGTATATCAGACAATGACAACAGTTGCCAGTCAGAAAGATTGATCTCTGATCCTTTTTTATTCTTGTGCTCACAAAGAAGATAATTTTTTAGGATTTCAAGGCATTCCCGATTGGCTCCACCCATCGAATCATAATATCTTATTTGTTTCGATATGAAATCAACGACAGCTAGACACCAATGCACGCCAAGATGTATTGGATACAGAACGATGTCTTTGGAAAATATATCAACTTTTTTTGTCCACCGACGTACTGATGTATAAGATTGCGTACTCAATCGGGGATAAAAGAATGTATTCATGGAATGTACTGCGGGGTAATCTTTTACATCTTTAGAGCGCTGGACAATCAATTCCATATAAAAATTTATAATTTCATCATTAAGCCAATTTAGACCGAACAAAGTCGACATGTGCTCGCGGGTTATTGAAATGTTGAAACACTCAGAAAGGACTTGATTTGGAGGATATGGAACTAGTGCTTTGTTTATGTGTTCACTCATGTCGGAAGTCAGCTCAGGAAGTGTGGGTTGTTCGATAATCTTTTTTTCTTGGAGTTTTAATTTGTTGTGTAAAATTTCAGCCAGAAGTGCATCTTTCTCTTCACGTTTCTCGTGCCAAAGTCGGGCTCGTGTTTCTTCAGCACGTGTTTGAGCTTGCCTCTGACGAACTCGACGATTGTATGTCTTTAACATGTCAGGAACAAAATTTTGTGACAAATATGGGGAAGAAAACTCTTTCAAAATCTGGCTTCTCTTTATACTATCATTGAGAGTGGTTTCTGTTTGACTTTCGGCACCATTTGTTAGAATTAAAGGCTTCGGATGCTGAATTATAATGTTATCGAGTTCCTTTAATTTTTCCCGCAACATCGGAGCTTTTCTATCAACATTTTCGTCACGTTTTGTCTCATTTTTATTTGTCAAATCAATTATACTAACGTTGAGGTTTCTTTTCGCTTGCTTCATAGGTGTTCTAATTTTGTCATCGTTACTAAACAATGAAGGAGCTGGTTTTGTTGTCGTAGACCTATATTGTTCAATCAATCTTCGATACTGTTCTCGTTGATCTAGAGACGAACAGCGAAATACTTCGAGACTGCGACGCTTTGATGTTCTTTGTTTCATGATCCTGCTAAAACGTTTGCTTGGTGAATTTGCAAAGCCAAAAGCTTTATCATACAACGAAACCCCTGCAGTCCGTTGCATAAATCTAGAATAAGCATGAGTTCTCATTGAACTTGACGGCCTGGAACTTTTTAATCGTATGGAATCCCGCACCGAAATTTCAGGTAACTGGGGCACTACTGGCTGTTTTCCCATCACGGGCCGTTTCATAGGAGTCGTAGCCATTTTAGGAGTTTCCGATAACAACTGAAGTCGCCCTAATCAGCAGTAAACGGATGTTTAACGTCAAGCATATACAGGTAAGCTGTACTGGAATATTTCCCAAAACCAAATTATTGCATGCCAGAATTTGAATGTAAACATATTCAAAAAAATATAATATTCAATTTATACGTGATTTAAACTGCGAAATATTTATTTAATAACATATAAAAAAGATTTGAAAATTATAATGTATGAATATCCAACATTGAACAATTTATAATTGGAATACTCAAAATAAAATTCTAATGTGTGGGTATTTCTGGTAAGTATTATAAAATCTTGACGTCACTCAATTTTCGCTACAACGATTAATTCTAAATGCATTCATGCATGACATATGTTCTTTATCGCCAACTCGCGTATGTATTTTTATACAATAAAAGTATATTTATCCCGGGGGAGAGGGAAACCAATAAGACGGCTCAACTATATTGCAAACCACGGTCTCTTGTCCGGTTACCATTACATGTCGGGTATGGGATTAGTTAGTTATTTGTTTTCGGAAGCATGGACTTGATGGTGGAGAAAGCCTAACCGACCAGAGGTTACGTGAACCACGCCATAGCGGCGAGGAGTCCAACAATCCTCTCGCACATAACCATTCATGCATGGGATTCGAACCTGCGTACACACGCAGAGTAAACAGAGGTGCGGTGGCGACATTGAACTGGAAATACATGGAACGATCTTTTCTCTCGTTTTGCGTTGTCTCGCCGCGGGATCATTTGATCGCCGCCAATTTGGCATTTATGCTTCCAAAGTTCCTCCGTGTCGCATATGGTTTTGGCCAGTTTTCGTCTATTTTAGTAACTAGTGCGCCGAAAATGATTGTATATGCAACACTGTGTGGGTATTTAAATTTAATCATATTCGAGTTGGGAATTAAGAACCCGATGTGGATCTCATTCTTAAAAAAATTTGGTTGTTCTGGCGATTACACAATACCTTATAAGTGGAAACAATTGTGTTTGCCTGATATCATAAAAATGCAATAACCTCCACGGGGAAACTTCAACCCAAGTCTTTAGTAGAGGGCGACGCGCAGTTTAGTTGGTACTCCCGTAGTCTGTGTACCAGGTTGGGGTTAGGCCATAACTTTATTCCAATTTTCCTTATTTTAGTTCTATTACGATATCGGATGCTGTGTGTGTCAGCCAAGTGAAATATTCTTCAGTCCCTTCACACACCTTGATGGTCTGGCAACCTTTGAGCGTTTTTTTGCTCCGTCAAAGTGAAATGTCGTGCATCCTTGCGCTTTTAGCGTAGGTGGTTATAGATGAAATAAGAAGTGACGAAGGGTAGGTAACGAGCATTTCCCAGACAACTGCCGGGCCGATCGGGCCGAAACTTTGCACGAGCACGCGGACTGTTACCAAAACAACCCAGAAAATTTTACAGAGCGATCGCGTCGGGGGAAGGGGGTCAAAACGGGGGTTGAAAATCGGGGTGCGGTTACCTGTCATTATGTCAATCAATCAAGTCACGCCGATTGAATTCGAGTCCGTTTAACGGCGTTTCCGGGACGGGTGAGCGTTTGGCCGATCCCTGGCAATTTTTTCGAGTACTTTGGGCGGCGGGGGCTGGCCCCCCCGCCCTCTGTGGTGGTTGAACGTGTGCCAGACCCCGCCTACTCGAGCTTCGTTTGTTTTCGGCTATTCTCAGACTTTTGAACGGGTTTTCGATCAAAGTGTCACTTATTTCTCGAAGAGGATAATTAAATGAAAGTTTTATCGCCGTCGAACAGGGAATTACTCCTCACAGTCGCACGCCAGGGTCTTCGAAAGTTTTGCATATGAAAACACCACAAACGTTAGGATAGAATAGATCGATGGGTATATAAACGAAAAGCGCTTTGCGCGTAATCATTTTTATTTTGTGTCACTTTGAGATTTTGGAAGTATACTGTGAGTCGGGCGTAGAACGAGCATTTCCCAGACAACTGCCGGGCCGATCGGGCCGAAACTTTGCACGGGTGCAGGAACCTTTTCCAAAACGACCCAGAAAATTTTTCAGAGCGATCGCGTTTGTGGAAAGGGGTCAAAACGGGCTTTTAGTGGCCCGAATCGGTTATTGGCCAATCGAGCTGTCAGTCAAGGCGTGTTTGAAGCCTCGCCCATTCGGCGATGGTAGATGAAAGTATATACTGTGAGGGAGAGGAAACGAGCATTTCCCAGACAACTGCCGGGCCGATCGGGCCGAAACTTTGCACGGGTGCAGGGACCTTTACCAAAACGACCCAGAAAATTTTTCAGAGAGATCGCGTTTTGGGAAAGGGGTCAAAACGGGCTTTTAGTGGCCCGAATCGGTTATTGGCCAATCGAGCTGTCAGTCAAGGCGTGTTTGAAGCCTCGCCCTTTCGGCGATGGTAGATGAAAGTATATACTGTGAGGGGTAGGAAACGAGCATTTCCCAGACAACTGCCAGGCCGATCGGACTGAAACTTTGCACGGGTACAGGGACCTTTACCAAAACGACCCAGAAAATTTTTCAGAACAATCGCGTTTGTGAAAGGGGTCAAAACGGGAGTTTTGTGGGACAGAGAGAGGTTGCAAGTTAATTAGGCCGTCAATCAAGTCACACACCACAAACGGTGGGATAAAAGTATATTGCTACTATATAAACGAAAAAGAAATATACTCATAATGAAGAGGTCGGAGGTGTGTACATCTGAAGAGCGTGGACCGAGATGACGGAGGCAGGTTGTTAGGCAACAGCAAGCACTTCGTGCGTAAGGTTTTTTATTTCGTGAAATTTTGCTCGTCAAGCGTTAGTGGTACAATTCTGAGGTATACTGTGAGTCGGGCGTAGAACGAGCATTTCCCAGACAACTGCCAGGCCGATCGGGCTGAAACTTTGCACGGGTGCAGGAACCTTTACCAAAACGACCCAGAAAATTTTCCAGATCTATCTCGTTTGTGGAAAGGGGTCAAAACGGGATTTTAGTGGCCCGAATCGGTTATTGGCCAATCGAGCTGTCAGTCAAGGCGTGTTTGAAGCCTCGCCCTTTCGGCGATGGTAGATGAAAGTATATACTGTGAGGGGTAGGAAACGAGCATTTCCCAGACAACTGCAAGGCCGATCGGACTGAAACTTTGCACGGGTACAGGCACCTTTACCAAAACGACCCAGAAAATTTTTCAGAACGATCGCGTTTGTGGAAAGGGGTCAAAACGGGAGTTTTGTGGGACAGAGAGAGGTTGCAAGTTAATCAGGCCGTCAATCAAGTCACACACCACAAACGGTGGGATAAAAGTATATTGCTACTATATAAACGAAAAAGAAATATACTCATAATGAAGAGGTCGGAGGTGTGTACGTCTGAAGAGCGTGGACCGAGATGACGGAGGCAGGTTGTTAGGCAACAGCAAGCACTTCGTGCGGAAGGTTTTTTATTTCGTGAAATTTTGCTCGTCAAGCGTTAGTGGTACAATTCTGAGGTATACTGTGAGTCGGGCGTAGAACGAGCATTTCCCAGACAACTGCCAGGCCGATCGGGCTGAAACTTTGCACGGGTGCAGGAACCTTTACCAAAACGACCCAGAAAATTTTCCAGATCTATCTCGTTTGTGGAAAGGGGTCGAAACGGGATTTTAGTGGCCCGAATCGGTTATTGGCCAATCGAGCTGTCAGTCAAGGCGTGTTTGAAGCCTCGCCCTTTCGGCGATGGTAGATGAAAGTATATACTGTGAGGGGTAGGAAACGAGCATTTCCCAGACAACTGCAAGGCCGATCGGACTGAAACTTTGCACGGGTACAGGGACCTTTACCAAAACGACCCAGAAAATTTTTCAGAACGATCACGTTTGTGGAAAGGGGTCAAAACGGGCTATTAGTGGCCCGAATCGGTTATTGGCCAATCGAGCTGTCAGTCAAGGCGTGTTTGAAGCCTCGCCCTTTCGGCGATGGTAGATGAAAGTATATACTGTGAGGGGTAGGAAACGAGCATTTCCCAGACCACTGCCAGGCCGATCGGACTGAAACTCTGCACGGGTACAGGGACCTTTACCAAAACGACCCAGAAAATTTTTCAGAACGATCGCGTTTGTGGAAAGGGGTCAAAACGGGAGTTTTGTGGGACAGAGAGAGGTTGCAAGTTAATCAGGCCGTCAATCAAGTCACACACCACAAACGGTGGGATAAAAGTATATTGCTACTATATAAACGAAAAAGAAATATACTCATAATGAAGAGGTCGGAGGTGTGTACGTCTGAAGAGCGTGGACCGAGATGACGGAGGCGGGTTGTTAGGCAACAGCAAGCACTTCGTGCGGAAGGTTTTTTATTTCGTGAAATTTTGCTCGTCAAGCGTTAGTGGTACAATTCTGAGGTATACTGTGAGTCGGGCGTAGAACGAGCATTTCCCAGACAACTGCCAGGCCGATCGGGCTGAAACTTTGCACGGGTGCAGGAACCTTTACCAAAACGACCCAGAAAATTTTCCAGATCTATCTCGTTTGTGGAAAGGGGTCAAAACGGGATTTTAGTGGCTCGAATCGGTTATTGGCCAATCGAGCTGTCAGTCAAGGCGTGTTTGAAGCCTCGCCCTTTCGGCGATGGTAGATGAAAGTATATACTGTGAGGGGTAGGAAACGAGCATTTCCCAGACAACTGCAAGGCCGATCGGACTGAAACTTTGCACGGGTACAGGGACCTTTACCAAAACGACCCAGAAAATTTTTCAGAACGATCACGTTTGTGGAAAGGGGTCAAAACGGGCTATTAGTGGCCCGAATCGGTTATTGGCCAATCGAGCTGTCAGTCAAGGCGTGTTTGAAGCCTCGCCCTTTCGGCGATGGTAGATGAAACTATATACTGTGAGGGGTAGGAAACGAGCATTTCCCAGACAACTGCCGGGCTGATCGGGCCGAAACTTTGGACGAGTGTAGGGACCTTTACCATATCGACCCAGAAAATATTTCAGAGCGATCGCGTTTAGGGAAAGGGGTCAAAACGGGTTTTTAGTGGCCCGAATCGGTTATTAGCCAATCGAGCTGTCAGTCATGGCGTGTTTGAAGCCTCGCCCATTCGGCGAGGGACTTTTACCAAAACGAACCAGAAAATTTTTCAGATCGATCGGAACGCAGGAAGGGGATTAAAACGGGGGTTTTGTGGGACGGAGAGAGGTTGCAAGGTAATCAAGCCTTCAATCAATTCACACACCACAAACGTTAGGTTAGAATAAATCGCTAGTATATAAACCAAAAGAAACAATGTTGTTATTGAGCAACTCGGAAGTGGGTACCTCCAAATTATGTGAGTTGGCGCACACGGACGGGGGCCCTACGCCGGACGAATGTCCGCCATTCGTCCGGCGTGACGACGTGCCGCTCGAAATAACCACCCCGACAGCACTACTTCGTTAACAACAATTTCAAACAGACATCCCCTTTTCCCTCGCGGGTAGCGCAGCGACCTCTTCTGGATGGTCTCGCAACCTGTCGCACTGAAAGTGCGAATGCACAGTCTAAATCAGAAAGCGTTGTACGTGAGGTGGAAGTTAAAATTCTATGCGTGGGAGACCGATTGATGAGCATTTCCACTATGTAGGGTAGGGCTGATGAGGTAGGTGATTAGCACGTTAGTCAGGTATCCCTGTCCGCGTGACACAGAAAATTTTTGGAAACGATCGGGCCAGAGGAAAGGGGTCAAAACGGGGTTTTTGTGGCCCGAGGCTGTTCATTGGTCAATCAGCTGTCAACCAAGTCACGCTAGAGTGATTTAGGGGTTTAGAGGCCGTTTAGCTAAGTTTCAGGGTCCGGAAAGCGTTTGCCCGAGTATTGGGAATTTTTCCAAGTCTTTTTGGCGGTGGGGGCTGTGCCCCCACGCCCTCTGTGGCGAGAAAACTCGTGCAAAGCCACGCCCACTTAGGTTCTATTGTTTTTAGGGAATTCTGAGGCATGTGAATTGGGTTTTGGGCCAAGAATTGCCTAATTCTCAAAGAGTATAATTATTTGAAATTTTCTTTACTGAAAAATCGGTGTTTCCCCCTCCCAATCGCCCTCCAGTGGCGTAAGAAGGTTGCGCACTTAAAAATGGAGCTATTGAGAAATGAAATAGATAGGTATGGTTGGAAAAATTAGTTTAACATTCTTTTGAAGAAATTTTTGTTCTCTTACTCCCCAGTCACGCTTTAGTGATTTTGGCTTATTGCAGGCCTCTGAAAGGACATATTGAGAAAGTGGTAGCATGGGCATATTTGGAAAAATTATTTGAATTCATTTTGAAAGGAATTTTTTTTCTCCAACTCCTCAGTCATGCTCCAGTGATTTTACGTTATATCTCGAGAATGGTAATAGGTAGAGATGCCATATTTAGGTCATACAAGTTAATTGAGGTCTAGTTTATGTCAAAAAAATTTCGTCACAGTTGAGTGATCACGGGCACTAAAATTAATAAAACTTGATTCCCATTGGGGATGATCAGTTTCTAACCTAGTATTTAAACTATTTAATGGACTAAAAAGGTCGGGGGCACTGCGCCGGACGAATGCCGCCATTCGTCCGGCGCAACGACCAGGGTCTTCTAACAAAATCAGAACAAACACATACTTTTTACCTTACTAAACACATTTCTTTACATTTCCCCTCGCGGGTAGCGAAGCGACCGACCCCTGGATGTAAAATAGGCGAACAATACACTTCTATATATCTCTGTGGGTGGCGAGCGTATTCCTAACGGCTGACTCTGATGACCGTATGGTGGTATCGTTTTCCCCAGTCTATACCGAATAACTTTGCGTATATTGTTGTATATTTTTATTATTGTTGCAATGCTTGTTTCTTATCGATTTTAATCGTTATTTATCGATTTTAATCGGTAAGTATGTTGATAGGTATTTGTCTGTCTGTCTGTCTGTCTGTCTGTCTGTTAGACGCGCGGGATATCTCACGAAAGATTTTTCATGTGCATTCATCATATCTCGGACCAGAAGCCTATTGATTTTGGGCGAATTATGTCGTATAATTAGCGAGTTATCAATTAATTAGTGATGGGACACAAGGCGTCACTATGGAGTAAGAGCGCTGTTTTGGGGGATCCCCTAACTTTTGATCGATAAGTCCTCGGTCTCTGACCGATATTCTCGTTTTTCTTGTTAACGAATAATAAATCTCTCTCTCTCTCTCTCTCCTTCGCTTAGAACGATGAGCCGCACCGCCGCGCCAGGTACATATCGATCATTTTGCTAAATTGTTTGAGGGCATTTCTCTCGTTAACTGCTCAGCGAACCGATTTCAGTTATTACCTCTCGATCTTAAGATCGGTAAGTATGTTGATAGGTATTTGTCTGTTTGTTTGTTTCTCTGTCAGTTGGATGCACGCGACATCTCACGAAGGCGTGTTTGAATCAGCTCCAAATTTTGCATGTGCCTTCATCCTATCTCAGACCAGAAGCCTATTGATTGGATGAATTATGTCGTATAAATAGCGAGTTATTAATTAATTAGTGATGGGACACGCGGTGTCACTATAGATTCATGATTTGAAACCGCAGTTTCGATCGATAAGTCTTCGGTCTCCGACCGATATTCTCGTTTATTATTTGGGAATGAAAGAGGTGGCTACGAGGTACCTAAATACTTTTGTTTCTCTACAAAACTTTTAAAACAACTACCAGTTTATAACAACGTAATTTCAACGTTTCAATTTGGACGATAATGTTCTTGGTCTTGTAACATTTAAAATTGTTTTGAGATTTCACTTTACTTCTCCCAATTTTGTTATGTTGATCGACTATATACGCTAGTTTGCGTGTCGGTTGGCACTACATGCTAAACTTAACAAACTCGCTTGTTTTCGTATTGCAACCCGTAACCTTGTATGGGTTCTGATCCAAAGGAGGTATATGCGTATAAGAGGATTATGGTCGATTTACTGATAAACTATCTCATGCCTAAGTTGGACAGGCAAAAGTACAATACAAAGTAATTCGTCACATGGCGTTGCATTTTAACAGCTTTTCTCTACCCCAAAATAAAAATAAAATATCTCAATTCGTGAACAAATTTATTTCGTCATGAGTCAATAAAGCAATATCTACACGAGAAAAAATAATATATAATATTCACAAAAAAATTGCATAAATCACTAAAGAGAAATAGTACACACGTAACCAAGAATATTTTATTTTCATTGAGGTCTTTCTTGATGTTGAACAGTCACATATATACTAGTAATTATGAACGAGCTCATTAGAAGCTTTTACAATACGATTTAAAAATAAAGATGAGCAAATTACATTCCACAGACACGTGCAGTTGTTGTTTCTCAAAATAACAAGTTTTTACTTATCGATTTTAATCGGTAAGTATGTTGACAGGTATTTGTCTGTCTGTTAGATGCACGCGATATTTCACGAAAGCGAGATTGAATCTGCTCCAGATTTTGCATGTGCATTCATCATATGTTGGACCAGAAGCCTATTGATTTCGGATGAAATATATCGTATAATTAGCGAGTTATTAATTAATTAGTTATGGGACACAGGGTGTCACTATGGAGTAAGAGCGCTGTTTTGGGGATCCCCTAACTTTCGATCGATAAGTCTTCGCACTCTGACCGATATTCTCGTTTTATCTTTATAGCATTTTGAAATTCATCGCTATAGTGCACTTTCAAGAATTCGACAAATTCTTATAAATGAAATATCGGCAAAATTCATCACCTAAAATTATCATTTGTCTTATCATTTGTGAGTCATACTAATAAGTGTCGTATGAATTCATTGTTTAGCCCACAGTTACGCCGTTCCGATGATATGTCATGAACTAAGTAATGGAAACATGTGCCGTGTCTTTCGTTCGTAAAAATATGGATTATTTGGAGATCCCTCCACCGAAGTATCATACGAAGATCACCCCCAAGGCTAGCACTTAAAAGTAATTCTATGATCATATGAAGTAGGTTTGGGGGAAGAATATTCGTATGATCCGAAAAATAATATTGTAAGTCGTGTTACGCGTGGACCTGTTTCTCACGTACGAGATTCAATGCTATTTGAATCGATCCGTGAGTGAAAAAGGGTTAGTACAGCTGGTTAAACATCGCAGTTAATCAAGTCACTGCCATTGAATTGGAAGCAAACGATTCCAGGTTTCGGTCCAAAATTCCAATAACCATGAATTCCCCACCGCTTGAACTTGGTTTGATAAAATTTTATGTAAAAGTCCATATTTCTTTGCTGCTGATTGTGTTGAATTTTCTTTTGTAGTGTTGTTATGATCGTAACTTTGGTTTATGGTTTCTGAACAGATAAATGTATTTAATAAAGAACTACCGCAGGGTGGTTCACGTAATCGGTCGGCTACGACTTCCTCTACCGTTCATGCATCTGGAAACAAATAACTGACTAACTAATCCCATATCCGACATGGACTGGTAACCGGACTAGAGGCCGTGGTTCGCCATGAGAGTACGCCGTCTTATCGACTTTCCTCTTCCACGTCATAAATATGTAAATTCGATCCTATCTACTTAGTTTGTCTTGGCTCGACACCATTACCCACAGCCCTTGGACTATACTCAATACCCACGCAGTTTCCTCACCGGTTTCACACTCGACGGCGTTAGAATAAGGAGTAATACGCAATTCTGTGATTTTCAACCGGATGCCTGAGGCTCCTTAGAAGGGCCACAGAGCAGCTTGAGGGGAACCACAATGCTAGACGCAAAACTTTTACTTTTCCCTTCACAAGAAAACTCCCCGTTCTTCCCAGTTTCATTGCTTGACAAGGTTCGATTTCACTTTATTGAGCATGAATTGCTTGAATTTAATGGGATTTGGAATCTAACAATAAAAATAACACTATAAATCCTACTATGATGAAAAACAGGGGGTGAGGGGGGGGGGGGGGGGCTTGGATAATTAGACCATAGAGACTCGTCATGCATGAATGGAATTCTTGAAAATGAAATACAGCTCATTTTATTTTATTGTAGATTTATTGTAGATGTTACTAACGCGATCTTTTTCAGAGTCGGACTTGTATATACTTAAATTCACCCAGGCTCGGTCCAGACCAATGGTACACAACCTTTTTTCTTTAGGTGGCCGCAATACGTTTTTGTGAAAGGTCCACGGTATATATTAATTATAGAATTGGTATTTATTCATATGTGTTATTGACTTGCGTCTGAAACGTTTCTGAAATAGTAGACTGCAAACAAATCTACTGAATTGAGTTTTTATCAAACCAGATCATTTTATTGAATACGAGATATTCGGATTCAATCTACAGTCGGAAGAGTAGCAGAACGCCGAGTGTGGTCGCCCAGTGTGGAAAACTCGTCATTTTGCGATCATCGATGACGAGACTTTTAATATATTAAAAAGAGTGAACTGAAATTTTCGACTCAAAATAAGAGAGTAAATAATAAAACTGAAAAACGGTGTTATAAAATATTATCACCGTAACCTTTGTTGAGGATTCCGCGACATTTGAACATCGTGAATTGCCAAAATTTAAACACTAACTCGCTTTATTGGAAACTAGATCACAATTAGCGAAGTTATTACTTATCGATCTTGATCGGTAAGTATGTTGATAGGTATTTGTTTGTTTGTCTGTCTGTTCGTTTGTCTGTTAGACACTTTCGTATGTTACGCGATATCTCACGAAAGCGAGGCTGAATCTGCTCCAAATCTTGCATGTGCATTCATCATATCTCGGACCAGAAGCCTATTGGTTTTGGATGAATTATGTCGTATAATTAGCGAGTTATTAATTAATTAGTGGTGGGACACAAGGTGTCACTATGGAGTCATGAATCATGACACTAATCAGAGTCAGAGCGACTAGTCAGAGCAAAGGATACACGCCGCTAGATCGATAAGTTGGCGGTCTCTGATCTTTATCTCGTTAATTATAATTCATTAATTATTTATATCCGCCGAGTCTTGAATAACCGTCGGGGTAGCACTGGGCTTTTCTATCGGATTGTGATGCTCGGACAGGTTTACCAGGTATATTGGCGCTCCCGAAGTATGTGTACCAAGATGGCGCACAACCTGACACTCACCTGATACACATACTATGTTCAGGATGTGCGCCATCTTGGTGCACATATTTCTTCCGGTATTTGATGTCCGCAGATATTTTACAGTAGAAATGATGCTGTTATATTTTGTCATAGGTCGACGTAATCGCGAGTTACGTCGAACACAATTAAATCATTATAGCAGGACATTTTACATTTTGCGCAAAATAAAAGATCATTATCGACTGAAAACCGGCTCTTTCCACGAATGGTGTCATTGCGAAGCAGTGATTTCCCTACACCCCCCCTATAGGGGGTGAACACCCCCCCTAAAATTTCAAACACCCCCCCTAATTTTGAGATGCGATTTCACACTGAGGGGTTCTAAACCGCAGTCTGCGGGCCAATTACGGCCCGCGTAACGATTTAAAATGGCCCGCCGAACTTGAGAGAAATAGTTTAACCCTTCATGTGGTACCTTTTGAGTTTTAGATATCGTCTATTGTTACATCATTATCACAGTTTAAGCACGTTTATTTCGTAACAATTGAATTATTCCGGTATCTTATGTGTACGTATGGGTATTAGGATTACACTGCAGTATTTTAGATATCAGCCGTATATTAAGAATGCTTAAAGATGTCACAAAACGAAAACTAGGCACTGAAAGCAGACGTTTTTTAGATGAATGACAGCGTTTTTATTTCTTTATTGAAAAGAATCAAACTTCAGCGATTTGTCTTCTTACCAACAAAATATTTCAGTTCTGTAGGAGTACAACATTATGCGACATTATGATCAGTTGACGAGCGTATTTCAAAATTTAATTCATACAAAAGTCAAACAAACATGTTCAAAAAAATTAGAAATGTGTAACAAAACTAGCCATAAGTAGGCATTCATACAATGCCAGATGAGCAAGTAACTTCATTAGTCACTATCAGTTGCAAATTACTTGTTGAAACGTAGTAGTATATATTTACGGTTGAAAGCCGTGCTTGTTATCTGTTCCCCGGGAATTCTATCAGCTAGATATTATAATTATTGATTTCATTACATAACAAACTGCGATGCTAGGTGTATCTAAAATCAAGCTTAGAGCCTATTTTGGTAACTATTTCTCAGAATTTTCTCAGGGCGCGCTTAAGCGCCCCAGCCGTGTCGTCCCGCACTTTTCCTCGCTCCCCTTTTCTGGCCCTACAATTTCATTCTGCTGTAGATTTTGGCTCGCCGTCAATCAACTTAGGGGGCCCTCATGTACATCGTTTCTTAAATACATACCATTTCTTTAAGAATGCAAATAGCCTAGTTTTATCTCTAAAAGCAAATTATTTACCACCCCCTAAATTTTGAAACACCCCTCCTAAAAAGAAAAGCTGGGGAACATACTGAATGCGAAGTAATGCAAACTGGTTTCAGGAGCTTTTGACTGGGAACTTCTGATTCCGATTCTGGCTGGCTGCGCTTCTGGCATTTGTAACATGAGGAAATGTGATAAATTTTGCAGACTTTCCGGTTCTTGCGAACAGTAGTAACTTCTTTACATATATCATTAGTGAGCAAAAGCCGTAAGTAAACGTTAAAATAAAAATCTGAATATAAGGAACCGTTTCTCTTCTGACGATATTCTTTTTCGCTTTAGAGATATGGAGCACGGTTTACAACTGTTACTTTTAAGGAAACTGATAATTCATTTTTCGTTACAGACACAACAACTGCTATGATTTGCCACAACAGTACAGCGCCAACATAAATTATTTTGCAGTAAAACACGCACATCAGCATCAACGCACATTTCACTTTCGACGTACGGCCGCAGGTTGTGCACCCCTGATCCAGACAAAATGCCATCGTTCGCCAATTAATTGTTTCGTCCCGAAAGCACTACTCTCACAAACATGAATAAACTTTTTCGAAGTACTTTCACGACGTACCGCTTAGACCAGTGGATCTCATCCTTTTTTCTTTTGTAACCCACTTTTGTTAAACAAAAAATTCTGGCCAACGCGGCACCAACCCAAACTGGTGAAAATTTACCGTCATCTATTTATATGTCCAATGGCCTACCTTCGCTCGTATAGTTGAAGATTATTTTTTGATGAATAAATAATTGTATAATTGTATGACATCAACGTATTTATTTGGCGCTTTTTTGAACTTTTTTAAGAGTGAAAAAAAAAGATCTTTCCCGTAACTTGTTAAGTTACGAACAATAGATTATGCCTTACTAAAATAAAAATAAAATTAGTACAAACATACGAATACATATACACCATAGTACAATACGAGCAATTGCAACATACATATAATCAATACAGAAAAGTTACAGAATCTGTGAAGAGAACAAATACCAAAAAACTCTTATCATGCAGAAAAAAAGTTACAGCAGGCAACGTTAAAAACAATATATCAGGTTGCGGGGCTCTGAGCAAGACTCTACCAAAGCAAAGCGTTCATTAAAGAAGCTATATTGGCTGGAGAAACAAGGATTATTTTCAGCTCTCAATTTTTAGCTGTGGTGTACACAAACACAACATAACGTGAAATATGGGCAATTGCAACATATAATCAAATATTATTAAAGTCACAGAAAGTGCGAAGCAAAAAAACTATATCTTGTCTCAGGTAATTGTCCAACAGAACAACCTTGAACGAATAATATTCATATTATGCAATAAAAAGTTACAGTCGCGTTTAGAAGGAATTATGAAATGCTCTACTGTGCACTATGAACAAGGCACTACCCCAGCGGAACATTTATTCAAGAAGTTACATTGGTTGAAAAACATGTTTCATTCACTGCTCACAATTTTCATTCGTGATGGACTTTGTGTTATTTAGGCCGTCGCTTTGAACAAGACTCTATATAAGCATCCACTGATATCTAACGATATGTAAAGAACTAATTTTATTTGGAAGGATCAGAATCTTTTCCGTTCAGCATTGCCTACACAGCTTATTTCACCCTGGGTGAGGTGGGGGGCATGGGATTTGATGCCAAGATGTGTAATCTGCGATGACAACACAGTTAAGCGCAGCGCTTAAACCGCCACGCCTAGACATTATACCAGTTGCCCAAAGAAAAGTCTTAAACCGTCAACTACAAGTGGAAAGAGTGTTGATAAAAGCTTTGCGAGCTACTGTGCTAAAAGCTATATATATTTATTTAGGATTATCGTTGTGATCAGCATAGATGGCTGGCTTAACAGGGTTCATGGCATAGAGATTGATATATGCTCACCCAAAATAATATTAGAACTGCACTGAAGCGTATTTCAAAAAGAAGGGCCACGGCCAAGTCATGTCTTAAACAAAGCTATGACGTCACCTTGCCCACGTAATCTAATGTGACGTCAGGTATCCCGAAGTCATTATATTTATGCTTAGTTATCAGATCCTCAATGAATGGTCGTTGCCGAATTGGGCTCAAAACACGAAATAAATGAAGAAATAAAGATTAACGCAAAGGTCCTCAATGGCCGTTCCCCAATTACAAGAAAAACCAAGAAATAAAAATCACTGAAAAGGGAACGTAATTTGAAGAGGAATAAAGATACAGAAAAAATATTTGAAGAAGTTGAATACAGTGATACAAAGACGTTAAAAACGTTTTAAACAAATTTATATCAAGCTAAAAAAAATGCAAAATATAAACGGAAATAATACCACGTAGAGATGGGAAATTTCCCTAAAACTAATTGGTGTCTTTGGCTTTGCATTTGGATCTACAAATTGTAATTTTATGCGGCGTTAAAGGAAATCTTTGGCTTTTAACTTTTTTCTATTGGCTGTTTTTTGCTTGGAATTAAACGAAAAAATCAAACTTTTCGATAAAACATAAATCTTGGTGTCGAATGGATATATAAAGCATGTTTGAGAAACAGAGATGAAACTCGACAACGTTCTGTATTTATATTTACCTAAATGCATTTACTACATTTAGCTACGATAAAAAATACATAGCAAACCCTGTTTTTCTAGACTGGATTTAAAATATTCAATGTCAATATTCACCTAAATGAGTTTTTATGATTTGAGCAATAGTGTGGAATCATCGTATTTTAAACTTTCTATTGATTGTCAACTCGAAGAAGATTGATTAAGTATAACCAAGCCAATGAAATAAATAACAAGCCCTATTTCCTTTCTCAATATTCTCTGAAAGACATGAATTGTAAAGGTAGAAATCAAACAAAAAATAGGCCAAGGAATGGCTAACATTGTGATTTGATTTATTTGGAGAAAAAGTCTAAGAAATGAAGAGAAAATATGGAATAGATGGATTCTATCTATATTGAAAAAGAAGTCATAACGCACAGATTCGGGCGATACAAAATACATAACGAATACTGTTTTCTTTGCTCGATTTTTTTTTAAGTAACGAACATGTTCAAATTCGGGAACGAATAATTATGCTAAAGTTCCCGATTTACGACAACATAGGAACCACAAACCCACAGACAACAAGACAACGAACACAACACTGACGACACAAATCAAAGCGATTTCCCAACCTTCTAGTGTTGAGCTGGGCGCTATCACATCGTACGTTGTTATCATTCCAGCGTTGATGTGATCGTCAACGTGACAATGCAAAAGCCAGTTGCCAGGTTCTGTCGTGTGCATTTGTACTGTTCCTATGCTTCCAGGGAAAAGTTCGAAAACGTCTCCGTTGGTGGTAATATCGTTGCTGTAAATAAGAATAGTTATATTTCAATTACGTGTTTAGCATTTTGAACTGAAATCCAACTGAGCAATATATATATTGAGACGAGGCGACACATCAGAAACTAGGGCTGAGCATTTCGAATCGATTATAGAACTATTCGAATAAGTTGAGGTGTCATCTTGTTTTTTTTGTCCGTCAAAGGTCGAGGCGAATCCGTCATTATTTTGTTTAAGTCGTTTTATTTAATGCCAACTGACAGATCACTATTCTCTTCCTAGTGATTTATTGATGAAACATGTTTCCAAATAAGATACACGGATTCAGATAAGCAATAAACTATATATATGTAGAAACGATGCAACACCAGCAGCTAATATCAACATTGCCGTTTTTTCAGATTGTCAGATCGGTCCACTTTATTAAATGTTATTTTATTTTAAATATTTTAGAAAGGCAATAAATATTCAAGCCAAATTTTCCTCAATGCGTGAACTATTCGTTCGTTTTATGTAAAATTTCTGTATGGAAGATTTTTATATTTTCAGAACATTTATGTTATAAATAACGTCGCTTACACATGGGTGAACGCATGTGCGTGAAAATGTGCTGTGTGGATGTCAACCTCGTTCCCATATCCCATTAAATGCCACAAGATGTTTTCGTTCTGATTCATCTGAAGACCAGGTAAATGATAGACGCGTCCATTAATTGCTGAAAATATAAAAAAAATTGTTTATATTATATATAAATTAACATTATAGCAATAATAAATAACTTAAAAAATATCAGCACTACTGCAGAAAAGACAAAGCCAGCGCAAAATTTCTTCCAAAAGCAAACAAAATTCCTCTTTGCGAAAGACTTCTGTCCAGGTTGGAGAAACGTTGACTCAGAGCAGAGGTGGGCAAATTGCGGGCCTAATTCGGCCCACTTGTGTGTGGTGAAATTACGACTATAGTTTTTATTGATATATTTTTTATGGAAATATTAATGAAAATAACGTCATAATGACCCCAATTGTTACATTGTTCTTCTTATCATTATATGAAAGTTAGCATAGCTGTTGCAAATAAACTGTTTATATTTCTGTTTATTTTATTTTTCTGATTGAGTAACCTCAGGTCCAGTAACCAAGTCCATTATCTGCGACTGGCCCACTCGGAAATTTAATTGCCAACTCCTGACTTAGGGCCCCTAGAAGACATGATGCGGCCATGGTTGAAGGATACTTACTATGCATCAGGTTGCTTTCAACAAAATTTTCATCCTCTTTGTTGATGGCCGAGGGAGTTGTTTTCATGAACGTCTGGATATTTTCGTCTAAATAATGACTCTGATTCTCGTCAAAAATGGAAAATAACAAGAAGAAATCTTTGTCGATTCCTTTAGTATGTCCAATGATACCGAGCGAACCTGTAATAATAAATAATTGTGAATGATTTGCATCCGTTGCTTTTTTTATTTTATTTTTCGCCAGCGTTCAACAACTCGTGATCAGCTTTTTCTGAAAAAATGGACGCGCTGGTACTATACGTAATTTTCAGGCTATTCATTGTATCTCAACTAAACGTACGCTTCCAACTAGTTCTGAAACTTCTTAGCAAAGTATTTAGCCTATAGGTCCATTTGTGAGGATTTCAATAGAAAGATATTTCGTTATAATATTTTTCACGTTATTGTCTTTTTTTTCTATACCTGGTACGCATTTCAGTAAACTAACAATAATAAAAAATTAACTGTGACTATAAATATAACCATTTGTTCGCGTTTTGACACAGTTGACTACATCCTGATGACTGAAGTAGTACGATTGGTTGAACAACGTGGACAGGGAAAAAATTAGATACCTCGATATTGGCACACACACTTCTGGAGCGACATAAAACGCCCAAATGTATTGTGATAATACTAAATAATATTAGTTGAATCATGACAAATACAAAGGAATATTTTTTTTGTATCACCTCATTGAAAACAAAAGCCCCCCCTTCCCCGAATAAGGAGGGATTCCCCCCACATAAGAAAAAATAGTACTATGCGGTGCTCCCGAAGTATGCGAACCAAGATGGCGGACATCGGAACGTAACATGGGTAACAGGTTAGGGTTAGGCCATAATTTTTTTCCAATTTTCCTTATTTTAGTCCTATTATGAGTTCGAAGACTAGCCAAGAGCCTCCCGTAGTATTTATACCTAAAACTATGGCCTAACCCTAACCTAGTACACATATTACATTCCGATGTCCGCCATCTTGGTTCGCATACTTCGGGAGCTCCTACTATGCTATCGCATTCACAACTTTTACCTCTTCTGCAAAGTAACAAAGGACCGATTAACCCCGAGTAAACGTCTTTTACGTCATCAACATTGGACATATAGAACCATGAACTACATCCAGGTTGGGTTGCTTCCGGTACTGCAGACGAAGGGACCTGATGAAAAAAATTGTAAAAACTGACAAAATACACTTTATATGCAAGATTGTTTCTAAGGATCATGTATCAACCTATCATAGTCTTATGCATTACTTAGACCAGGGTTCCCCGAACCTTTGGGCCACGGACCCCTGTTTGTGAATCTTAGTTTCAACGGCCCCCATCCTTTGTCGTATCAATTTGCTTGCCTAACTAACGAGGGTGGATAATGTTTCCATTTGCAACACAAACGACATTAATGTGATGGAGGAGGTTGCTTTTCATCGCACAATTTCTCAATTCACGGAGCGATTTCTGACAAGCAAACTCGAAGGTCCGACTCTACGGCAAGTCTCGATCTTTATTTTGTCATCATATTGGTAAGAGCTGAAAATGCTGCCTCACACATGTAGGTCGTTGCAAAGGGTAATTAAATTTTATTTATGACACAGTGACACTCACAGCATTGAATATTCGTCAGCAACGCTCAACCGAAAAAATGTAATGATTTTTTTGATTGAAATCAATCGTTAAAAATCAAGCACACTCTTCATATCGTTGCGTCGTCACGGACCCCAGTTTAGAAAACCCTGACTAAGACTTTCTCTTCCTCGTCTTTACTGTTAAGTTATTTCAGGAGTAAAACAGTAGTAGTTTATACCCGCGAAACCCGAATGCATTGGGCGAAGCCCGAATGATTTAAGGCAGCGACAATAGCAAAAAAAATATAATGCATTATTATCCATGTTAGAGCCTTTTCAAACATAAACTGTCGTATTAGAATTTTATGCTCAATGGGGAAAATTCTGAGTCTTGACAAAAGCCACACTAAAAGGCTTGGCGGATGGGTTTTGGTCCGCGGGCTGCTTGTTGCACATCCCTGATTAAGGATTATGCACCGCTGTGGAAAGATTTTGGTTTGGCCAAACCTATGTATATGATTGAAAGTGAAATTTAAAAGTTCATTCAAGTACAAAACTATGATATATCTCTGCACATCAGTGAATGCATGTATAACTGGCTAACGGATCCCATACCCGACATGAACTGGTAATTGGACTAGAAGCCGTGATCGCCTTATCGGCTTTCCTCTCATCCGGCAAAAATATGTAAATTCTAGTTCTGATCAAATATGTAAAAACATTGCAGAACTCACACTCCATTTATAAGTATGTGTGTCTCCAGGTGCAACCTGTGTTGTTTTCGCATTAAAGGCATCAGCAATGTCCTTGGCTCCCCATGGTGCTATGGAATAACTTCTTGTTGCCATATTCTTGAACACGATCTGTGTAAATTAAGAAATTTTTGAGTATTTAAATTTAATTTTTATATGATCTTCTAAGACAAATGAAACTTGTGCCAAACAGTATATAGCAAGTCAAGTTTATTTTTTTCCAACAAGTAAAAATCAGCGTACACATTTTTCACGAAAAAGGGATAATCACACAGCTGGGAAAAGAGGCCGCGAGAAATCAAATTCGGTTGTCCAGCAGAGACACCCTAAGTTCTAATACAGTGCTCTTTAACAGGAACCGCTTCCGCGATATCCTAGGTTTACGTAATACATTTTTATTTAATTTATAGGGGGAATCATTTCTTGCTTCAGCATGTTGATGCGTCGTTGCAAAGTTGCTCAAAGAGTGTAGACATGCGCATGAGTATTGCATTGAGCGCCGTGAAGCCACGATTCAAGAAGATTACAAAGGAAATGCAAGAACAACCTAGTCATTGAATTTCACACTTGTTACCTTCTTCTGTTATATTCCGTTTTTTTTTTAATTTTGTTAATTGGGGTTCAAGAAAAAACGAAAATTTATATCTAAATTTATATCCACCCACCCACAATAACAAAAAGGTTGAAGAGCACTGTTCTAAGATCTGATTGATTTTTTTTAAATCACACAGCTGGGGAACGAATGCCACGAGGAAACAAAACCGGTTATCTAGAAGAAAATCCCGAGGTTCTAATATATAATTGAAAATATTTTAGTTAGAGAACTACTGGGTTACTGAAGATCTTACTCAGAGTTCACCGATATAAACAAAAATCAGTGTCACTTAAGTTCAATCAACCTTTCAAATTCAACATACACAATTTTCGAGAAAAAAGATTATTACATAACTGGGGAATGGAAGCCTCGAGAGAGCAAAGTCTGTTATTGAGCACAGACGTTAGAGGTTCTAACATCTAACTGAAAATTTGCCAAAGTGAAAAAATATTCATTTTTAAATATTGAAATACCAAAAATGATTCCATTTCGATGTGTATAAGAAACAAACTCACATTTATAATATCTCCTTCCTCGGCGCTTATGACCGGGCCCAGCAGTCCCATATCTTCAGTTTTCTCTTTTCGTGTTGAAAAGGTTCCATCCGTATATTCAAAGTACATTGCTTTTTTATATATGCTTCCTGTTAATAAGGATTTAAAGCTTTGAATATAGTACAGAAAACGGGTGGGCTGCCCTGAAAACCAAAGTGCTGTATATATGTAAGACCAATATTTCTTTTGGGAGGAAGGCCTTTTAATGGGAGGCTTTTCAATTGGCTATTGCGAACCAATTAATCATTCCTACTTCTGAAAGCCCCGCGAAAAAATGAGGTTCTACCTTGCAATGTCACTCTTGCTGGGCAAATCCCGAAGGCATGTTAAGAAAAGTACGATCTCGTAAACAATTTTTCTTTATTATTAAGGCGCATTTCATAGCAATTTTTTAAACTAAAAATTTTGAAGCATTATTTCTAAACCTGGACATAACATGTTTTAAATTTTTTTCAGAAAATTATCAAAAGGGCTCATAGTATTGGAATGGGAACCATTGTTTTCTACCAGGGGAGAACAAAGTGGTTTTGCAAGGCCTGGATTCTAAAAATCGTTTTGCAAAGGGACGTACTTTTTACATTATCGAATAATTATTGGCTTACATTTTTGAACCAAGGATGTGAAAAATCATTTACATTGCTTTCAGAGTTTGATAATTTTAAATAAGGTTTATATCTAAATTTTGTATATAGATGTAAGACATTTTTTTTTCAAATTTACCGCATATCAAAATGCTGTGATTGGATGCATGTAACCTGCTTCCCCTAGATTTCCCGTCCCTGCCTTCAACTAATGCAGCCTTATTTCATATACTTACCGATTGTAACATTGTCTTGTTGATGAGTAAAAGTGTAGCCAACAGAATTTGGATCACTCAGTGGAACACCCACATGATCAGTATTCCAATAAGCATAATTCCAGTTTTCCTCAACAGCTCCGATGTAATAAGTTAACGTTCGTCCTGGTTTCGGTGTTGCTGGTGAAGTAAAACCGCAAGCCTTCACCTGTATTGTTTTTAAGAATGTGAGAGGTTTACTCCTTCATGAACGAGGGTCTAAATAAGTAGATACTGGCGTCGAAGACCTACCAAATTCATTACACGAGGCACGATGGTCTAATACAGCGGTCCCCAACCGGGGGCCCATAGCCTACAAAGGGGCCACAGGGCAGTTGCAGGAGGGGATGGGGGGCACCATGCTAGGTGAAAAACAAAGTTTCATTGCTTGATAAGGTTATTTCATATGGTGTTTTCACTTTGTTGAGCATGAATTATTTGAACTTAATGAGATTTGGAATCTTTACCAATAATCCGAAAAATCCAATCCACGATAATTTCACCGATACTAATAGGACACTTCATGGGTCTCTTGTAGTTTCGTACCTAACGTACTTCTATTGGGCGTAGCATAACAATTTTTTGATATGTCAATCCTAACTCCCATCTAACTACGCCATCCAAAAATTACGTCACTACGACATCACAATCACGTCACAGAGCTTTCCAAATATACGTACGATCGCCCGAAATGGTATCGGCGCCGACGATGTCATGTATTTTCGTATCTAACATACTTCTAGAAAAGTTGAATTTTGTCTGGCGGAACATTATATAGAAGCATTTTCGAGAGCAGAAATTTTTCGAAGTTTTCTGAACAGAATTCTCCCAATAGCGCCCTATCTTACCTTATAGGATGTTATCATTCCCCCAACCAAATGATCAAGCACAAAACATTTGATTTCTCCTGTCCCTGCGTATAATGGCGTCACAGTCATTGATGACGTCACATGAGGAAATACGTTAGAAACAGCAGTGTTTTCTTTCCTGAAACGAGAAGAAATTATTTCAATTATTTTGCAAAATAACTTCGGAAGGGATCGCCACTGACAAAAACTGTTATATATGATGTTCTAATGATTCAAGTGGGTAATTAATTTTGTTCGTCGGTTACAGCAAGTTGTATAAAGAGACTAAAACGTATTGACAAGTATTTACTAAGCTATAACACAGACAGTCCCCGAACTCGTAATAGAACTAAATATCCTCAGTTCAACCGGAAAGCTTAGGGGAACCGGAATAAAATTATGGCCTAACCCTAATCAGTGTTTGTCATGGTGCATATACTAAGAGAGTACCAAAATATTCTTATCCAACCATGTATGTATGATTTCGGTGGCCTAATGTATTTACCGAATTGTGTGCACCAAGATGGTGCACAACCTGAACCCTAACCTGGTATAACTGCTATGTTCAGGTTGTGCGCCATCTTGGTGCACATACTTCTGGAGGTCCCATGACTCATCTGAGAGATGGGTTACTTCAAAGTGAGTTGAGTTTTCGAGGAAAGATGATGCATAAATTAATGGCTTTTCATTTTGCGATTAAAACGAGCGATAAAATATTTTTTGAAGTATGTGAACCAAGATGACGGACACCAGAATGTAGTATGTGTACCAAGTTAGGGTTAAGCCAAAATTTCAGGTACAAATAATACGGGATTCACTTCGCTAGTCCCCGAACTCGTAATAGAACTAAAATGAGTTAGATTGGAATAAAATTATGGCCCAACCCTAACCTGATACACATACTACGTTCCGGTGTCCGCCATCTTGGTTCACATACTTCGGGAGTTCCGAAAATTCCATAAAGTTCTGGAACCTATTAACTTCCCCTATTTTTTTCTCTTTCTCTTTATTTTTTAAAGGTTACAACCCACCTTATATTAATATTGACTCCTGATACAAACAGCGAATGTAAGTCAACTTCTGTTCCGAGTCCGATCACATGGAAGTCGGTCGGTTCGTATTTGCATAAACTTATGTTTTGTAGGTTTCCGTACATAAGACCGTTGATTCCTGAAAAATGCATAATGGAAGATCTTTCTTCAAATCGAAATTGTAAAATTGTATTCACAGCTGTTCATATAATTTATAATTGGTCATCAAAAGTGGGCAATGACTTTCCTAAATGTGGCCAGTTACAGATATTAGACTTGTTTACTGGGCCGGAGGCTCAAAACTAAATATGATTAAAAACAGTTTATTTACATCAGCTAGTCAAGCAGGTAGGCTGACGTTTATATAATGATGTAACAATCAAGGTCGTTCGTTATGACATTTTTTCATCGATATTTCCAACGGAAATTTATACTCATAAAAACTATAGCCGTAATTTCAGCAAACACAAGTGGGTCGGATGAAACACTTCGGCGGGCCAGATCCGGCTCGCGGGACGTAATTTGCCCACCCATGAGTTATATGAGGTCAGCTGTTCAGTTCTTGGGAAGTCGTGATACCAGCGAACTCGCTTTTGTTTTTAGTTAGAGATATACGAAAATCGAAGCAAAACAGTAACGTGCATCGAAGCTGACGACTAGCTTTTGTTATACTTGTTTTGCACCTATGTAAGCAAGGAGTTAGCAAAATGGTATAATTTGCTGATGCTTTGAATTTCCATACTGATATATCTGAATACTTGTACAAAGCTACAAAGGCCGGAAATAATGGCTGCTTGTATAAGACTTGTTAGACGCGGAATCCATGAATGTGCGCTTACAAACTTCAGAGAGTTGCTTATAACTCACCATGCATAAGATTTGATTCTTTAAAATCGTCGTTCTCGACATCAAGATTCGGTGTGGTAGTGTAGGTGGCAATATTCTCTTGTAGATAATGACTTAGATTCTCGTCCATCACAGTCAACAAAACATAATATGCTGGTCGTTTCAAAGCATTAGCTAACGTGCCTGTTAAAACGATGTATATTTAATTTTCTAAGCAGTGTTTCAAAAATTGTTCACGCGGCTTACGCTTGCACTAGATTTTTCAGAGTGTATCATTGTTTCGTACCCGTACATGTAACTTTAGAAAAATGATTGAAGTGAGCAGAAATACCGTTTCTAAGATGAACATTTATAAATCAGTGCGAGCTCCACACAACAAAATTAGAGGTTCATTTATAGCCAAAGGTTTATTGACTTCTTATCGATTTTAAGCTGAAGTCTATAAGCCATTAGTCTAAAACTAAAAAATTGGGGTTTAAAAACGAGTTCCTTTGATTACATTTAAAATGGAGAGTATGGAAGCCCTAATTATAGATATCGGCTATACAACTCATCTATCACTAATTCTCGCATTCATAATGATGCTCCGCGACTTTTCTTTGAAAATTACACATGACGTCGCCTATTAACGAAACGTTTCGTTACCTTTCTTACAGACCAGCAAAGGCCCAACTAATCCACTGTTTGAGTCTTTAACTGGGTCAAATGATGACGTATATAAGTAAGTGACGCAATCAGGATCCAAATCGGTCGGGGAGACGCTGTCTGGCGCTGTCCTGGATAATTTTAAAGAAGAAAAAATATAAATTTTCCGTCTTTTTCAAAAATTTGGTGAAATTTTTGAACGGATGCAATATTTTAGTTAGAATAGAAAAAGTTCAGAGATCGAACAGAACATTTCCTTATTGTCCATATCTTTCTTTGCCCTTCTTGATACATTTAAAAATCCCGGTTTACAATTTGAGTTGACGCTAGGGCGAAAAATCTGACGATGATACTCATAAAGAAATATAAATATTCCGCCTATTTCAAAAATTTGGTAAACTAAGAAATACACGTATACACTATTTGAACTGGCGCAAAATTTTAGTTAGAATACAAATAAGGTCAGAGACAGAACAGGCCATTTCCTGTGTATTTATATCTTTGTCTTTTTTCTAAATTTAAAAAAATTAGGTTAACCTATTGAATTGACGCTAGGGCAAAAAAATCCGGCGATGATACCCATTTACCACTATTTTTGAAAGGCATATTTGTCAGAAGCTAGAGCACATAACTTGTTAAAATCGGCAGAGGCACTTTCACACTTTATTTTTCAACTGTAAAGCACTTTCGTACTCATGATTTTCTTAGAGTTAACAACGAGCAACTTAAATACATCTATTTGTTCTGTTTCTTTGAAGTTTCTTTTATTTCTGTTAGAATTATTTTGTTTTTAATTAGCATATTGAAATTTCACTACATCTTTATAGATTAACTGTTCACAACCTGCGGCCGTCGTGAAAAAATAAGGCGGCCGTCCACATACAAAATCCTTTAAAAAAATTTTAAATTATAGGATTTGGCGGCTATGCTGGCGTATATTGAAACAAAACAGAAGCACTGCAAAAAGTCTGACGACACGATACGTTACAATCTGGGCGACCACCCCTCCCGCCCTCCCTGACTTTCGATTTTTTTCAAAATTGTGCAATCATTATGCAACTTGCTGCAATATATCTGCTCAAGAATAGGTTCACCGAAAAGAAAAATTTGTTTAAAATGCAAATATTATACTTCTAAGTAGTCCTACACACCTCATAATTGGGCAGACTGTACTTCGCATGGGTCAAATACGCGGTTATGACGTCATAAATTCAAAAAATTCGCGTCAACCCCCTGAAGGACGTATTGAATACAAATAAATGCAATGTGGCCGCCAATAGCAAAAAGGTTGTGCACTCCTCATTTAGATTAAAACCTAATTATGGATTTATTATTTGAGTGATATTACTGTCCCCCCTCACCTCCTCACCACAGCTTGCGGGAGGTCAGATGTACTTTTGAATGTGTCATCATCCATACTAAAAGTGCATACCGACAAAGATAAGGTATCCATTTTAAGTAATTATACAAAGAACTTCTTACCAAGTATACGTATGTGTCTGGCCTGGTCCTACTCCTGATGAGTCAGTGTAATAAAGTCCGTGAGGCTCAATGTTGTACGTCTAAAAATATACGAGTGAAAATTGTGTACCCTACTTATCAAGAAATATTTGTTTATAGCTTTATTAGGAGCTACCAATCACTAATCAATTTTGCACTTAGCCCTATCTTTACTTTACGCTTTTACGCCAGTAGATGCATATGCGTATAATACATGGATGCTGTAGCGATAATGAAGAAGAAGATTTCCAAGTGATCCAAGAGTTAAAACGCACTAAAACGAATGTACTGAGGTCAGACGAAACGTTACAGAATTAGATTTGTGTCAGTGTGAAACGAGACACTTGAATTACATTTGTTCAGAGCACAGACGTTATAAACATTATTTTTTTTAAATGAATTCACGAACAAAACGCAGAAAAAAGAGGAATTTTACAAATTTTCGTGTGAACGATTCATTCAATTCACTTTATTGACGAGTTCCTTGAGTCTAAATCTCAAAATAATAGCAATCTGGTTACGGCATTAGAACCCTGTATTAGACTCACCATGTTCGTAGCAAAATTCTTCAATACCACTTCAATGACGTCACCAATCTCCACTGCAATCAAAGGCCCGAGTATTCCGAATGTTGATACTTTTGTCTTTTCGTTCGTAAATGTGACGTCGTCGTAATCGGAAAATAAAGCTTTTTTATACGTTCCTCCAATACGATCAGCGTTTTGTTCGAAAAACGTATTTGAATCGCTGAGAAATAAACGAGAATATCGGTCAGAGACCGAAGACTTATCGATCGAAAGTTAGGGGATCCCCCAAAACAGCGCTCTTACTCCATAGTGACACCTTGTGTCCCATCACTAATTAATTAATAACTCGCTAATTATACGACATAATTTGCCCAAAATCAATAGACTGGTCCGAGATAAGATGAATGCACATGCAAAATCTGGAGCAGATTCAATCTTGCTTTCGTGAGATATCGCGTGCATTTAACAGACAAACAGACATACAGACATACATACAGACAGACAAATACCTATCAGCATACTTACCGATAAGTAATAATATTTCCATGCATAGATATACTCGTTTATACTCTTTATAACGGTATCCTTGGTGTCAGATTCGCGAAACAAATACGGAGAGAATGAGGAAGTGGTTCAGCGCATCTTACTCTAATACATTGGTTTGCAACCTTGTTTTCAAACAATCCAAATTTTGGAAAAAATCGTCCTGCGACCCAAGGAATTTCCCATATTGGGGGTTGGGGGTTGCTCTGTACTTCACACGTATTATGTTCTTACTGACAAATATAATATAATCGACTTACGACCCAGCCAGTGTTAGACTTTCTCCTGTTAGTAAGTTCATTCCACTTGGTCCATAATTCCACTCTCTCTCGTGGATTCCAATGTAAAACCGTTTCGTTACCGTTGTTGAAGGAGTGACGTCATCAACAGCACAAGTGTCGTTTACAAAAAAAGTCGTCAGCATACCAGCTGTGAATGGGAAATGTTGAAATGCAATTGGAAGGTTGATGAGAAATTTAAATTTAACTCAAACTAGGGCGTCTGTTTATGTAGGTCCCGGAATCAGATTTTTCGGTGAAGTATGCTTTTCACAACGAGAAAGGAACTTCATCTTGTATGATTACTCGAAGATGATGACATGCCATGTTACTGATAAGCAATATCGAACGATTGATGAGGGATTTTATTAAAATTAAATGAGGTCATCAAATATGACGTCGGTATTTGATTTTAACCCTTTCTATGACGTCAGTATTTTATATTGCCCAGTTTTCCTCCCTTCCGCTTAGACAAGATAAAAATATTAACCTAAGTAATGATCGTTGACTCGACATGCTATTAAAGACGATCCAGGGTTGCCAGGTTTCATTTGAACTGAAGCAAATATTGCGGCGAATAGACTGACTGTATCTTGACGATGGCCTTCCAATATTACCTGTAAAAGGAATAGAGCGGTTCAGTACTGTCTACATTAGTGTTTCCTAACCTTTTATGGCCCCCTTCCGGAGGAGTTTAGCACTCATGGCCCCTTGTTTGTCATTCAAGTGGTATTTATAGTGTTATTTTGATTGGTAGATTCCAAATCACATTGTGTTCAAACAATTCATGCTCAACGAAGTGAAAAAAAAACTGTGAAATAACCTTATCAAGCAATGAAACTGGGGAAAATGAGGATTTTTCTTGCAAAATAAAAAGTAAAATCAGTTCGCACCTAGCATTGTAGCCCATCTACACCTGCTCTGTGGTACCTTTAGAGTGCCATGGGGCACGGGCCCCGATTAAGAACTGCTGGTAAACATGCTTTTCTTAAGCTTGGTTCTGGATATTTTTAGAGAAATTTCAACATCAGCTAGGCTCTCCATGATCTCATCTATGTGGTTAAACATAGTGAAATTCTTGCATAACTTTTTATTGGCTAACTAATCCCATTCCTGACATGGACTGGTAACAGGACGAGAGACCGTATTGCGACATATGATTGAGCCCTCTTATCAATTTTCCTCTCTACAGGAGTATATATGAAAATCCCATCCCAACAATGCAAATATGAAACTCGTACCGTCTGTTTTTCGAAATGCACGGAATGTATATCGACTTCGTTTCCTAGTCCAAATATGTTCCATGCGACGTTTTCTCCTTTGCAAGCAGTAAGTCCAACCAGGTTACCATACATAAGACCGTTGATGCCATGCATGGTGTTGCTCTCTTGAAAATCTGAGTCCTCGACGTCCACACTTGATGGATCGGTGCAAAATTCCTGTCAAGAGAGCAAGGTTTAAATATATGGACATGAAATTGAATGTTTAAGGAAATTACACATTGGGACATCGCTCTCCTAATCCTCAATCAAAATTTAAACGTCAAATTTAGAATATTTTTACGCAGAAGCCAACCTTCTTTGAGATCCTATACCAGCCAATGCTCGTTGTTAATAAATTTGAAAGTAAAATGTTGAATAATATCTACTCGGCTTTGGAAACTAGGATAGCAAAGTGACTAATTAATATGGCTTTACCAAAATTCAGGCACATGGGTAAAGAATTGTACGAAATGTCATATGAATGGTCAGACATTATTAAAAACAGAAATGTAACGTCTCGCTCTCATAGAAAATGTGAAAAAGTAATCGTCTTTCAGCGACTTCTTCAGTTTATTCGGTATAAACTAAATTTGTGGACCAAATAACCAACTTCAGACATCATCATTTTTTTTTTTTTCAATATACGTTCGCATACCCATATAGAAATGTAAAATGATTCAGCGCCATCTCAATTTTGAGTATTTTGCAAGTATTGTGAAATATCTCATCCGTTTTTTCCAAATACGTACAGACAGCTATATCTTTCAAAGATATTTATTTTATTACTATTATGTAGAATATGCGCTTTGCATAGGTGTAGTAAGTGGGTGATTAATAAATTATTACTGATTTACAAAGGAAAATTCCGAAAGATTTTTTTAATCTTCTCACTTGTACGTTCTTCTCGATATACCAGCTCGTATTTTCATCAATAACAAAGAAGGATAAAACATAGTCTCGATCAACATCAGTTCTCTTGCCGTTTCCATCGAGTGTCCCTGAAACAGTTCGGAATAGGGTTTGTTATAAGTAGGCTTATTTTATTATACGTCCCGGTTTAGCCGCGACAGTCCAATTATTAGTTGTCCCGCCATACCCGCGGGTGAACTTTATGTCCCGGTTATGCAGTATTTCAGTCAGTTAGGAATAGAGTTTGGTAAACGGTGGCTAAGAGCATACTTTGGATGCCGAGATACACTCACGTTAAACCTTTTATTTACTTTAATAGCTAATTATCATTGGCAGTTGCCAAAGTAGTAAGTTCGATATCGGTGCGAGAAGTTTATATTTGTTGATTAACAATTTCGATTATAATTACTTATCGATCTTAAGATCGGTAAGTATATTGATAGGTATTTGTCTGTATGTGTGTATGTCTGTCTGTTAGATGCACGCGATATCTCACGAAGGCGTGGTTGAATCTGCTCCAAATTTTGCATGTGCATTCATCATATCTCGGACCAAAAGCCTATTGATTTTGGATGAATTATGTCGTATAATTAGCGAGTTATTAATTAATTAGTGATGAAGAGATCTGGATTTTCACAAATCGAGAGATTTTCGAGACGCGCTGAATGTGTGTGTGCGTATCAGATGCGCAAGTTTTCACGCTAGTGAGTCAGAGCGAAGGATACACACCGCTAGATCGTATCTCGTGATTAATCTTTGAGCCTTGTCCATATCTCTCTTGTAACTTTGACGTCGTCGCGATGCGCAAGTTTCCTTCGAGAAATTTTCCACACTATTGAGTCAGAGCGAAGGATACACGCCGCGAGATCGTATCTCGTTACTTATAATTACTCCTTAAAGTTTAGGCAATGTCCATATTCCTAAATCAGGTTCGGGGTTGCAGAATTCCTCACCAAAATATCGCTAGGCTGTGTTTGAATAGCCGTCGCAACCTGGGTTAGCGCCGTTGTATTTGACACAAACTATAGGATTGGTAAATACAGAAATAGGCTATTGGCTGGAAACTAATCGAAACAATCCAGTTCGGATTTGCAGAATTCTTCATAAAAGTATTTCCTCGAGTAGTATTTCGACGACATGGGGAGTTGGCTATTGTTTCCTACATTTCTGATATTGGCTGAAAACTAATCAAAACAATCCAGTTTGGGTTTGCAGAATTTTTCGAATCGAAACCGCAGTTTCTGTTTTGGGGGATCCCCTAACTTTCGATCGATAAGTCTTCGGTCTCTGACCGATATTCTCGTTTTACTGGTTGTTGAAATTTGTGTCAAAGTTTACAAGGCGTGATTCGCAGGATCGAATTCTATGCGAAGATGGTTATGTGCGAGAGAATTGCAGGACTCCTCGTCGCCGAAGGGTGATTCACGTACCTGATATGGACTGGTAACCTGACAGTAAGTTGTGGTTCGCCATATGATTGAGCCAACTTATCGACTTTCCTCCCCAACGGAATAAATATGCAAATCATATACTATCTTACCCACCTTTACCTGCAATAATCGTAATCACCAAACACACAAGACTCACCTGGTCTACAAACCAACAATCCACCAACCAAACCGCTGTACGAATCTCGAACTGAATCAACATGTGAATGGTAAATCCATGTCACACAACCTGGATCATGTTCTCTGGGACCGTATCTGGAAAAAAAATCAAATTGACATTTCTTGGAATCACAATTTTCGACTTGGTTGATGAGAAAACGACACATTGCTAGGGTTACGGTATAACTCACGTGTGAAATTTCATTCAGATCAGTCTAACCATCGAGGCGCTAAGGCAGGGGTCGGCAAACTACGATCCGCGGGCCAGATCCGGACCGTGGAACAATATAATCCAGCCCGCAAAGCTTCACTGAATTATATTAACAAAACAACTGTATTGACGATTATATTCCTTACGTAACAGAATTTGTTTTGAGACACTGAATTATATTATAACCTAGCAAGTATATAATTCACTATCACTCGCTTAATGAGCCTATAAATTGAATATAATTAGACAAATGGCAACAGAACGTAAAAAAGTTGATGTTGGTTCAAATGGTTTAATGACGCAGAAAATATTCAAATGAGCAGTCTTCGCGCACTTCTTAAAAATATGTGTAAAAAAATGTGATTCATTGGCCATTCCCTTGGTTTTTAACTTTCTAAATATATGTGCGCCCGTCAATGACTTGCAACCTTTAATTTCGGCCCGCGAACGACAAAAATTTGCCGACCCCTGCGCTAAGGCTTCAGCACACAGACAGGCCAAAAATGAGAGTCTCTTATAGCGGAGATTCTGAGATTCTGACAACACTCGGCTTTGCCCCAAAATATACTATATTTACTATCATAAACCGGACATTGCTTCTTTATGTTCAAATTTTAAGAGAGGTCGGGTGAGGGGATGCTCCTACGCGTACCCCCCCCCCCCCCCCCTTAAATACAGCAGTGGTAGAACAACTCATAACTTTTAATTTTTGGGGGTAGGGATGAAGGATGCTCCATGTGTACTTCCTCTAAAATAAAGGGTAGGGAGGGGGATTCCCATAGGTGTACTTTTCCTTAAATACAGTAGTGGTAGAACATCTCATAACTAATGAATATTTAATTTCCCAAAAAAATTTCCTGGGTGAGAATGGGGAATTCCCCAATGCGTACTTCCCCTTAAATACAGCAGTGGTAACTTACGAAAGTTTCATTTCCCATGAGATTTTCTTTGAGCTTCCAGGCGTGATGTACTGATCTTTCGGATCACCATTATCTTTGTAGACCGCACCTTCGTTTGGTTTGGTGTACTGAACTCCATGTGGATGCATACTGTAATTCCTTGAGGCATAATTTTTGGCATAGATTGTTATTTGGTCCCCAACCTATGATAGGAAAATTTCAGTTAGTGGGCACGAAAGTTACCTATGATTAGTTAATTTGCAATGTCATAACGAGATTGAACTCTAAGCGAAGTTACGGGTAACCGTTAGAATGAGCTGTAGTGAGGATATATGTTATTATGTGTAGAACCGCATTGGGTCTCCGACCCCAGGGAAGAGAGATTTCAGGTACGCAGCCAGGATCTACAAGGGGGGGGGGGGGGGGGGGGGGGGTCAAAATCGGAAATTCCCATTCACTTCTGAAACAGCGCTTTTATTCATTTATAAGTTGTTAATGAATCCTGTGATATCTGATATTTCATCCGAAACTTTGCTGTATTATTTTCATTCGTGGGAACACTGTTTGTCCGTTTTGATTCCGCACATTCTTGGTACGCGAAATTCGAATTTTTTTTAATTATGGAGTCGAAATAAACTTACACTAATAAAATGAATATAAAACAAAAGAATGAAGTAGAGAAATGCAAACCGGACATCCTGCACAATGGCAGTGTCGGTGTTAGTGCATGACAAGACAAAGAAGCAATATATTTTGCAACGGCTTTTGTAGAATCGACAGACAGGGGTTCTTAGTTTAGTAGTGTTGTGTTGATATCGGTAGATAACAGTGGACGCTGGACTTTGGACATCCAGTCCTTCAAGATACAATGTGTAAGACATCAAACGGAGATAATTAAATAAAACATCTTGTCATCATATCAACAATGAAATAGATACAGTAGTCTCAATCACCTCTCCAATTATAGTTGGTCCTAGGAATCCTAGTGTCTGATCCTTTGGTATCTCATTCGTATATGTGTCATCAGTGTATTGTCTGTAGATTGCTTTCCAATATTTACTTCCGATACGATTTGGTCCACCAGCGATGAAAACTGCTGCGTCTCTGAGATAAGTTAAACAAAAATAATATGGGTTTGAGGATAAAGAGGCTTATTTTCATTTTATTTCCCTGGGCATGAAGAATCGGTGCTCCCGAAGTATGTGAACCAAGATGGCGGACACCGGAACGTAGTATGTGTATCAGGTTAGGGTTAGGCCATAATTTTATTTCAATTTTACTTATTTTAGTTCTACTACGAGTTCGGGAACAAGCCAGGTTACTTCCGTAGTATTTGTACCTAAAATTATTGCCTAAACCTAACCTGGTGCACATACTACGTTCCGGTGTCCGCCATCTTGGTTCACATACTTCAGGTGAATCTATATATTCATATCTTCGATGCACAGCATAAACAATATTAAAGAAAAAATTACTATCCTGAAAACAATTCAATAAATGACAAATCTTTATAAATTTATTATTTGAACAATAATTATTTTAAAAATACGAAATAAAAAAAACGACTTACTCGCTTTCTGTTAAATTTTCTCCGTTGACCAGATTCAGTCCAGTTGGTGCATAATCCCAGATTTCTTCTTTAATAGCTATGTAGTATACTCGTTCCTTTCCAAACACAAAATGTTGAGTTGTCAACACCAAGCAGATGAATAATAAGTGTATATTTGACATTTTTATGAATGAAACCTTAAAATGAAGATTACTATTTTTCAAATAAAAAAGAGAGCAATGCGTTAAAGAATGAAAACGATGGACAAATGATTTCCGCAGTCTTGAAATTCAAGTTTAAACAGGGAGGTCACAGGTCCTGTGCTCATTTTTCAGTTGGATATTTCAGAGGTTTTGCAAAAAGGACCGTCTTGCTTTCTTTATCTGTCTCGAATCTATCGCCTAAAAAGCGTTCAATTTGAGTTATTTTCAAATTATTACTAGACGCTGGCGACAATTTGTTTCAACCAAAATTTTGCTGATTTTGAGAGATATTACGAGGACAAAATTGGAATCAATGACGCACCCATATGATTTGAAATTTTAGAATACGACTCCCGAATTCATAAGTCTAAGATTTCCGTCTGCTTAGGTTCACGTTTTCCACTCTAAAAATTAAGAGTTAAAACTACAGTCTTAACTCCGAAACTTATATTCATAAAAACACCACCCGACTCCGCAATTCTGGATATCTCCATGGTCAGGGAAAAGTAGACATAACAAACTGAAAATACGTCAGCATGATAAGCCTCATAATGTTATATAAACTTCTTATTTGCACTCTATCACATGAGACAATGATTCTAACATTTGTGTAGTCATAATATGACAGTTTATTTGTGTAGTTCTTTGAGTAGTTTGTGAAGTCATAATATGACAGTTTATTTGAGTAGTTCTTTGAGTAGTTTGTGAAGTCATAATATGACAGTCTATTTGATAATGGGGCGTCGCGTATAAAGATTTATTTTTACCGGTCGCACATAAAATTTTAGATTATTAAAACCTGATGAATGTGTGGCGTATGTTGAAAGGTGCTCCCGAAGTATATGTATCAAGATGGCGCACAACCTGAACATAGTATGTGCACCAGGTTGGGGTTGAAAACTGCAGAAAATGTCGAGAATTTTACAGTTATAACCTTGGTTCGCTGTGCAAAACTAACGTCCGAATTTGACTAAAAAACGATTGCTTATATGGCACCCGGTTTGCTACCAGTGCCCACTTATAACATGGGTTCTCAATGTTCATTTTATGTTTATCCCTTAGCGAAGTCCGCGGAACTCCAGGGTTACGCAAGTTTTCATTCAAATCCGAACGTCTATATTAAGATAAGTATATTGTTTGAATCTCACCAAATACCAAGTTAGCCACTATTATTGAACTTGTTACACTTTAAAGATAATTTTTTTTTTTTGGGTTTGCTTTTTCACATTATTTTTTAGTTTATAAGGACAATAAAACGCAGTCCAAATTCGCACAATAAATACAGCTCATCTATTGCACAGGAATTCCTCGATCCCCTGAACTGTTTCATTGAGTTACGCTTCGCCAAAAAGATTGAAAACTATTGCCTTGGCAGATTGACCCTCCCTTAAATAAATTTAAATGCTAACCGACTCTTCCGCCCGTCGTTAGTGGGATATGAGAACGTGCCGCAAGGCGAGACGTTCATTATACGATTAAGCAATAAAAGTTTATTGCGTTTCCTCATTTATTTTATCGCCCTTGTTCGATAAAAGACCAGCATATCACCAAATTTAAAATTCAACCAAATGCAATACTTACATAGAAATGGCAGTAAAATTGCTGATATTTTTAGTAGTGCTATACGATACAGTTATGCGGTTGATATTTACAGTTAGAAATTGATCCATGCGTTTATATTTGCATGAATGACATTACGCTAGCGCTTTATATTGACTTTCTATTATGAATGCAAACACGACTAACATGCACAAATTTGAAAATATATTCACAATCTGGTCCCATCATCACTATAACTATACACTATTTTGTTAAAAGCCCAATGGAATAAGAATCGAAGTCAATGTCAAATCCAGTAGTTCATCAAACTTTTTTAGACGAGCCCCCTTTTTAGAATTTGTCAAGTCTCGCACCCCACCTCAAAAATAACTAGCTAACAATATGCTACAAATAACAGATAGTGATACGATAAGTTACTTTCAAATTAAAATCACAACCATTCTGTCAAGAATTGGCATCGTATACTTAACTTGATTATTCAATCTTACGATAGCAAGAGAGAGGTGAATCAATTCGATTCCTTACTGAGTTTGTATTTGCATGGATGACAATACGCTATCGCTATTGTAAAGCAAATTCCAGGAGCATATTCAAAGAATTTTCAAATGGAATGGGGGTCCAAAATATCTACTTGACAAGCAAGACCTTAAGAGGCCAACTTATTTAGTCAACACGGCCAAACCCAAGTTCTAGTGAGTTGCTTTCAAATTAAAATCAGAACCATCCTGTCAACTGTATTTCACGGATCGGACAACTAATATTCAACTTTATCATTCAATCTTACGATAGCAAGAAATAGGCGACTCGATTTGATTTGAAACCTGCACTTGCCTGTATTACTTGAGAAACAGCTGAAGAAACATCGAAAATGCTATCTCAAAACTTATGTATGGTGTGGGGGAAACTTGATTCACATTGCGGTTTTGTAATAAATTCTGAGTCATAAACTTAGACTTTGGAAAGTTCCGTTTTTGGCACTGGGCCAAGTACGGGCTATGTGGAAATCGCATCTTAAATACTCTAGTCATATATGGGGCAAGCTTGGCTGATATCAATTTGTTACAGCATCTGGTTGCGTTATTGCGTAAATACCATGAAAGTACCAATGTAATAATGCACGAAAATATGGTTATTGACTCCTTATTCACAGTAAATATTTTTGTTTTGGTTTTCATGGCTCAGAACAACGCTTCGGATAAGTAGAACTTAAAAGGCAACTTTTAAAAAACAAAACATATTGGATGTACGCTCTCGGCGGCCCTTATTCTCGGTCGTTCTGTCTGTCTGTGTGTCTGACGGTAGCGTCTAAACTCTAAATAAAACCAGTGGTTCTCAAACTTTTCGGAAAATTTTGCGTAACAGTCACCCTGCAATTTTTTTGAGGACACGCGGTCCACTAAAAATTCAGAATAGAAACATGTTATATCGAGCATTGATTTATTGCATGTCGTTAGTACAGTTCAATGTGATGGGTGCAATTGCTTGGTTTCCATCTGTTCGTCTATTTGGGGTTCTGTTTGGGCCATTACTCTCGTATCATGTCTCATGTGTTACAAGTAAATACTAAAACTGTTTTCGGCACTATCCCTTATGAAAACCGCCACAGCAGTGCTTTTGTGTCGGTGTCAAGTTGCTTCGCGGTCCCGCCTGGATGTCACTTGGCGGGCCTCTAAGCGACCGCGGACCCCACTCTGAAAACCAATGCTCTGAACGGTTTGACCCATCTGAATAAAATTTCCCACGTCACTCTAGTACTGTGATTTCAACAAAATTCAGATTGTTGTTTCGTTTTTATGGCAACAACGAAAAAACGCAACGATCCTTGAAAAAATTTCCATTTTTCACAGTTTTTGGTATCGTGGTCACTTCAGTGCGCTTTCGTTACATATGTGTAATTTTGCCTGGGTGGTAACGGATTGCTATAGTGCGGGCCTACTCGACTATCGGTAGACATCCCGGGCATCTACCGACTTGTTTAACTTTTAGTTGAAAAATAATTTATAACCTGCCCTCTTTTCAAGGCTCTAGACAAGTACTCATGATAGACATGAAATTTGGACCTGAGATCTATAGGGTGCCCATGAAGTTTTGAATTTTTTCAAAATTACAAAGAGAATTTATCGATACCAGATATTGTTTTGGCCGTCACAGATGTATTAAATGAAGTAAAAATACATAAACGATTCCCTTATAAAACCTGGTTAAGATATATTGAGAACTGACTTCACAACCAAATTGAAATTGTAAAGGTACTTTATGGACACCCTGGATAATCTTTAACATAAATTGGCATCAACTGTGCTAAGTACTAAACCAACCTCTACTTACTAATATCTTTATGACAGCAATGCTTTCAGTCGTTTTTATATTTAAGGTTTTATAATTTTGATTATATAAAATGAACAACGCGGTAATGATGTAACGTCTACACGTGATTCATCGGGTCAGAGTTCACCGTATGTTGGAATTAGCACGATAAAATGCATAATTGATTGATCGTTTTTTGAATTAAAAGTATTTAGGAAACTACTAACTTAATTCCACATCGAATGTTACACGCATGGCGACAGTTCCCCAGACGTGCACCTCATTTTAAGCGAGAAATATATTTGGTAAAGTAACAAAAACGTGCAAAATCTCACTAACGCCGTCAATAACGCTACCAATAACCCGTTTAAACGTGCAAAATGATCAGTTTAGAGTCGCAATAAGATTATATAAATTGGAATTAGCGCGAGATAAAGCGTACTTGCGATGATTTAACTAATAGAATAATGACAGATAGTTGATTGATCGCATATTGCATTAAAAACATATATTTATACATATATTAAGCAGGTAGCACACGTCACCACAGCTAAAGTTTACCAGTTACGCACCTCTCGAGAAAGTGATATAATTGTATTATATTGTATTTGCTGGAATTAGCACAATAAAATGCATAATTGCAATTGTCTTCCTTAGTTGATTGATCGTATATTGAATTAAAATTACATGGGAAACCGTACTTTCATATTACAGGTTACATTTTAAGGTTCGAACCATGGCTACAGTTCACCTGTTGAGCACCTCATAAACAGTGATGTTTTGGGTAGGACACACCCGTCATTTTCGCAAATTGTACTTATTATTATGTTTTTTGGGTGTCACGACTATACTAACTAAACTAAACGACTGATATCTTTCAGAGTTGATACCGAATAACACAAGAATTAAACTTTATTCCAAAATTTAGATCGGAACTATTCCTGACCTGACATAACAGCAACGCTCATATGAAACCATCGCCGAAGATCATCAGCATGATAATATAATCCAAGATAGACGCTTTTCGTTTTTGTCAATTATCACACCTCTGACGTCTTCAAAATTACTCAATATATATGAACAATAGAATTACGAAGTTGCGTCGAGTCATAATTGGCCTGGTTCCGTATTGACGCATAATCACGAGATAGAGT